AGTGTTGTCCTGTCAAATAAGCTATGACTCTTAATCCTGATGGATGATTTCTTGTCATGTTTTTATATCCAGGAACTTATAACATAAGTTTTGTATTTACTATCTATTTTGTAGTTGTGATGGTCTTTAATTATTTTCAAAAGCAACTTTTTTTTTCAATTATGGTCTGATATGAAGAAAGTTGGGTCTTTGGTGAAAATTGAATTCTCCTGCTCTGATAGGATGAAAATAGAATTTCAGATTTGTACTCAAGTGGTTATTATCTGCCCAGAGTAAGGGAAAAAAATGTATTGATCGAATAAAGAAAAATCCTGAATGATTGCAATGTCCTTGGGAATTGTGTCTGTTTTGTACTGACTAGAGGTTATAGCCCCACAAATGTTTGTTTGTTAGTGTCAACCGAACAAGGTTGAGGCATTGATATATAATGAGGATAGGTTTGCCAAGGTACCGGTTTGTAGAGAGAAGAAAAAAAAAATCACAGGAAGGATGTATTGTTTACTCTTTTAACAATTTCTAGCAGGTTTATATGCAGTTCTTGACATTGATGTGAAAATGTATGAGGAAAGTATGTGTTTCAGCCATAATATATGAGCCTGTTTCTCTCTCAGCTGAGCCCAGGGCATGTTTACAAATTAATGTTTATTAGCGGAAGATACCGAATCTTAAAGATAAATAATGTGTTTGCAATAAAAATGAATAAAATGTTGATTTTTAGTGCATATCTGAAGGAATGTGAGATTTTGACAGAAAGCTTTTTGATGATGACTTGGGAGAGGAAATCTTCATCATCCGAGTGTTTGTATTGATTGGGCACTCAAGGCCTTTAATTGTGTGGCTTTGAACTGTTCACTTAATTACCAGAATAACTTAATTTCCACTAACCGACTGGCCAAGTATCGATCTGGATGATCCGGAAATTCTGTGTGTGAGAAATATTATAAAAAAAAATTTGGTGTCCTGTTCGTACAGGGCTTTGGTCATTTGTCACACTGTCATTTGGATATCAGCTGCTGGAATAATTTTCTGCAAATCTTGAAGGATTTAAGTTTTATCATATCTGTGAAAAATAATCTATATGGATTCCCTTTGAGATACATTTTGGATGTTGGGTTGCTGATTCAAGTTCTGTAATTTAATGGATTTAAATTTTTGCTTTCTCAGGTGTAGATTACAAATTTTATTTGTTTAGAATGCTTTCTGTAATTTCATGCATATTTAATGATAAGTCTATGAAAATTCCAGTAGATCAGTGTTATACACATATAGTTAATAGACTTCATGGAATGTCTTATGACAATGTGTTATTACATGAGGCTCTAATGAATTATGTCTGCAGCCTCATGTGTTTAAAATTTTTAAGTTGCTAGCTTGTTTGAATTTTGAAATTCATGAAAGGTTATGTTTTCATTGCTTTCAACCTTAAATTATCTATTCATTAAGCTATTATACCCGAAGGAATAAAATGGGTCTTGAATTTTGATTATCAAGTCCAGGTCACAAAGAGGGTTTTAAAATTGTTTCCGTAGTTCCTGTGTTTCCATAACTGTTATGAATTGTTAAAGACGATTCCTGCCATAAAATTCAATTTCATAATGAAGGAAATTAATAGACCTTGTGGAATAAAGAATTAACATTATTACAAACTACAAAGCAGTTCAAGGAAAAAAGTTGTACATCCTGGCTATTGATTCTGATGAAATGTAAATGGCGATTTTTATTCCATTAGAGGCAGAATTGTTCCACATAGCATCAAATTCCCTCTGTGATGATGAGAAAAATTGAATTATTGTCCTCATATTCAGACATATTATGTATGTCTGATAGAATAAGGAAAACTCAAGGTGACTTGCTGATTTGGTATGTGATGCTGTAAACCAGCTTTTATTCATGAGCGAGAAATTTCCACGAGTTTCGTGACCTTCTTCCATTGGCGAATATTTTTTGTTGCGAATTAATTATTCACTTTTGTATTAATGTAGAATGTAGGCTCAGTAATACATTAGTAGTTGCGGATGGTTTCCAGACTGAAGTATCGTGAATAAAAGATGTCGCGAATAATAGTTGGTTTACAGTATACAGGTTGAATAAATGGAATTGCTATCACTTCACTGTAGGTTGGTCTTGGCATCATGTTCAATTCTGAGGTCATTTTGTTCAATTATTGATTATACATGATCATTGCATCCCCCCTCCCATGTATAGACAGTTTATTGCCTTTCTTATTAGCTATCCCAATCACCAGGGTGTGCTAAGGTGAAAAATATAACTGTTTAGACTTCTTATAGGGGACACACCATATAGATCAAAACCAATAACTTGTGTTTGACACCTATTGGCATTTTTATACTGTTTGGCAGATATCTGAGATATATCTCATCAATAAAAACCTAGCCAGAGGGCATCTGCAAGAGATGATGCTGGCCAAGTGTTCGCCCTGGTCTCATTTCATTGTTCCTGGTTCTATTTTATGGTCAGATTAATCTTTTAGATAAGGGAACTTTTTGCCATGTTTAGTAAATCAAAAAAAAAAAAGGCAGAATTATTCTGAATGCATTAATGTGTATGGATTATTTGGAGGGGTCCAACTTGTAGCAGTCCGTGGGGAGAATGTAATTATTTCAAACTGGAGGGCTTGTCTGCCATATATATTGTGTGTGTATTGATAACGATTCCTTGTGTCATCACTGGGAGATGTTTTTGTGCTGTTTTACATTACTTCAAGGTTATTTTGTGTGTTAAGGTGCTTTGTTTCAGTATTTACAGTCACGTGTCTATATTCTGCGACAAATATAATCTTTGTCAAATTGAAGTGTGCTGCTTAAATTGTTGGACCCATGCTTAAGAATCTCATTCACAGAAAATGACTCTTGAATTTACAACCTGAGGATATAACTATTAAATTCTACCACCTATCTTATAGTGATTGATTTGAACCAAACTTAGTTTTAATTGTGTATTGTGTACAAATTCAGTATTAGTTTTGCAACACATAAAGGAAGTGAAAGATATATCTGTAGTATAGAATTGATGAAAAGCTATAATGAATGGAAAATCATCAATTGTGTTGAGATGTGTAGAGAGGTTTATGATGCACAGTAGAGATTACAATCCATTAGCTGACTTTGTAGAAAATAAAGGGCTTGACATAGATATGGGCATCAGAGGATGCCGATTTCTGTTATATGATGCTCTGTCAACACAAGTTTTTGCATAGTGTGACTTATGGTTTGATGGTCCTCGAATAACTGATTTTGTATCTCTTTGTAAGATACCAGAAATTTTTAGAATTATTATATATATTATCTTCTGATTTATAAACTGGTTTCAAAATTTCTAAAAACATTTATAAACCAAAAATATATCAACAATTCAAGTGATTTCCAATAAGATCTTGCACAAATGCCTGGTAATGTACCTCAATTTTTGTGACAAAACTAGTAGTTGCAATATTTCAATCACAAATTCTTGGAAAGAATTATATATTATTGAGGAATGTTTTATCTGAACCTTAAAGTTTTTGTGATGTAATGGTAGTTCAGTTGTCTATAAATAATTCATTAGTGACATCAAAATACAATTGTGTACCAGTTAGATGTCCCCAGCTCTTTGAACTGTGTGGGCAGTAAGTTTATAGCTCCATGCTGGCCTGAACTTTATGACACAACTTAAAGAATTCTAGACTGTAAATGACAATTGTTATTTTTCTGTGGGATCCATTAGGACCCAGCAGGAGGGGGTGTTGATATTGAAGTGTTTCTAGACTTTCCCCTGGTATGAGACCATTAACTTACCCCAGGGGTGGTTTATTTGTATCCATCACTTTGTTATTACAGCACAGTGGGTAATTTTGCATCAGCTATCATTCTGTGTTATTTAAGCATTATGGGTAATTTGGAGGGCCATTCACTAAAATAATAAAATTGGGAATTTACTAGCTAAGGTATTTTAAGAATACAATGAAGATTTATGCATCAGTATTTATATCCACAACAGAATGCCTAATTATAGAGTTAATTTCATTAATCAGGAATAGGAGAAATATTGTGACAAATATTTCCAACCCCATGGGCTAAAGACCAAATTGAGTTATTGACTAAGAACCCTCCTTGTCAATAGTCAATTTCAAGGATCACAAGGGATAACACAGTGTTGACCATAGAATGATGGTATTTATAGCCCACCAGGGGTCCCCCCATGTCTCTTTCACCTGTGCACTAATGGCTGTGCTAACACATTTAAAATGAGCACCAGCTGTACCAGTCCGATTACAGAGGTTAACACAAGTCCAGCTTGGTCACAGTTTGAATTTGGACATTTGATTAAGTGCCCATGAATTTTTGTATATTGGAGATTGTATAATTGGAGATGTTGCTTCGTTAGATGGATGTAAGAAATGTGTTTTCAGTGCATGTGTGCATAATGTAACTTGAAGATTTTTGAGTTTATATGTGAGTTATAAATTATTGATGAATAATATTCTTCCATGTGAATCTGGTCTGCTCAATCTCTTATCAGTATATTGTTTTGAGTGGAAATCATTATTGTGCAGTAAATGATTTTTTGGTGAAAAAAAACAATTCTTAAATTGATGAAGATCAAAATCAGAAATTTGTGCTGATGTGAAAAGGAAAAAAAAAGTAATATTCTGTGGGTAAGAAAATGGTTTACCTAATAGCCTTGAAGCTGAAGACTATTTAATTAAAGGAATGTGTATTGCGATAATTACTAGTATCTTCCTGAAGAATCTGTGTTATTTTTAGCTCAGAGAATTATCGTTTGTAACAAATTTCTAAAAGGTCTTTGGGTGTTACTTAGAAAATTGTCTCTAATCTATGCGCAATGAAGTTGGGGTTCAATTGTGTACGCAATGCATTTGCAGGTTTATAGGATATGATAGTTTGTGTTTCACGCAATTAACAATTAGACGGGGAGCTTGTATATATACACCTGAGGGAAAATTGAAGGTGGCCTACATTCCAACATGTGCTGGGGACTGGATTCCTGGGAGGAAAAGGTTCATCAAAATATCTGACCTTCGCATCCATAGCTAGAAAAATCAATTTTTTTCACAAACCAAGATGGAGAGAATTGAAGCTTGTAGTGGTCTTGACAAGTTTCATTGAGGAATTTACAATTATAAACATAGCTTGTTTCCATGACAATCTGTTTCCCTCTGTCTCCTTGTGGAGAGTTGATGAATGTCTGCAATAGGACTATGTTGATGACATGTAATAGCTTTGGCTTCAATCAAAAGAGGGAGAGGATAATACAGGAATGGGAAAGGAGGACCGTCATTAATCGAGAGAAAAAAAATTGCGAAGGCTTAAACACTGAGATGTAGCCTCAGGAACTGTAACTTGTTAAATTCTTTAAGGCTACGAAATTGCGGGGAAGGAATTATAGAAGACTGATGAAGAATTTCTCTCCCTAGTTGATATTGTGACAGTGACTTAAAGTTGATGAATTTAGAAAGATTGGATTTCCGTGGTAATGGAATGCCATGTCTCGTTTTTGGTGCCTGTACAAAATTGTGATACTGTTTTTTGTCATGATAGTTTCTATTACCATGTTCAGAGACAGTGTGAATAACATTAATCAATGAGGGATTTCCATTTTGAGCTACTGCAGTTTTTATTGCATGGCCGATGTTTAAGGCTATGAAGGATTCTGTTCTGAGCTGTCTGTTTGGGGGATTCTCGGGTCATTCCCAATGTGGACAGGAAGCCACTGTCCCCAGGGATCGCAGCCCTCACCAACGTCAACCCACAGCAGCCATGGACTGGAATGTAGGTCAAGAGAGTAACAGGAGGGGGCCCACAAAAAAGCTCAGCAGGGGGTCAAGCCCAAGGAAACCTGAAACTATTCCACTGATGGTTTCAACCAGTCAACCTCAAAAGCAGAGACCTCAGTATTTGCTGGACCTTAAGAGTGACACTCCATATTTAGAATCTGACCTTGTGATATCTAGATCAAGGACACCTGCCTCAGATGTGAGCCATCAACAACAGCCTCATGTGCTAAGAGCAGAAGCGGATGTCCATCAAAGTTACCATGACAACCATCACTATGATGATCTCCCAGTCAGGGGAATTTTGAAGAAGAAACCTCACTCTTACATGATTTCACCAAGTTCTGTGTCGAGGACCACCTATGAAAATGCTAGATCTCCGGAGAGTCCTATATACTTGTCCCTTCAGTCAAGATCAGGGGCCACGAGTCATGACCCTCAGGCAGCAGACAAACCCATTAGACCAGGGGAATTGTCCCAAGAGTCTATTGACTTCTGGAACTTCCTGCTGAGAGAATTTAGAAAGGAGGTAAATGATTTAGTGTGATGCTTCTAAGAAATTTTATTTTAGCACTGTGTATTGACCAAAGATCATATTGTAAAAGCGAAAAATTGGAGGTTTAAAATAATAATGAGTCCAGTGAGTGACATTTTGTGTTATTTATGGTAGGTGATATTTTAGTCCTCTATAGATATTAAAAAGCTGTGCTTCAAGAAACAGCTGATTAATTGAGTATTTGACATTTTAGAGAGTATTTCTGCACCCAAATCCCTGTTAATTCCGTGATACTGCAAAAGAACCACTAATTTGTGCCAAAATAGATAAAAGTTACGTAAGAGAAAAAAATGAAGCACGTTATCTTTAATGAGCATTATGGGTAACACCTGTAGATGAGTTTGTCTTTTGCCGGGAATATTACAAAGAAATTATGTAACTATATTTGTTATAGTTAATTATTCATTCTCCCCATCATGATCTTGATGGTTTTACATCATTCAGTAAGCTAATCTCCATTCATCAATGTAGTACATGTACCCTGCTAACATTTAACTATTAACAGCTTGATGAATTTTCAGCACTCAGCAGTAGATGTTCCAGTCTTACATATGTTCTTAAAGGATTGATACAAATACAAATTTAAAGAGCGAAAAATTGATTTTCACGTAATATAGAGTAAAAACTGCCGAATCCAACACCTGTGCAATCTGTTTCACTGTGAATTCAGTCCCAATTTACTATATTCCATGTTACATGTATTTACACTGTGTAATCTGACACCATGTTCTAATCTGACACAAAATTTGTCTCCCAGAGCATGTTGGATTAGACAGGTTTCACTATACTCAAGTATGTCTTGTTAGTACGGGAAGTTGCATTATAAATGATATATATTAACCTATGAACATCTTTGCAGGAAAGTGCCAAGAAGAGGGAGGCTTTTCTAAACATGCTTTCCAAGCGATACCCTCAGTATGCCGAGCGGATCCATCGCCCCTCCAGTGAAAGTGGATACCCTGTCCAGGTAAATAGCAAATTTTACTTATATGCATGTATGTGTAAATTACTGAGAGAGGGAGGGGGGATGAGCTAACTTCATCTACAGAAATGACCAAAGCATGTTTAGTAATGATATAGTAATGTGTGTATAAAATCATATATTTAAAACGTCATAGTGACATTGCTGATGGAATACTTATAGCAGTAGTACTGGGTATTGGCTAGAGATTTCGTTTTGGGATATATTGCGATATTTTTAACTGTATTGCAATGTGTATTGCAATGTTTTCAACAAAAATTTAAATGGCATTTTCTTATTATATTATCTTCTTTTTACATGTAGAATGTACATATCTATGATAAATAACCAAAAATAAATATCTTGTTGATTGAATTACAGTTGTTCAACTAAATACACCCATACAACAGCTTTTGTCTTACAGTTCAGCATGATCGCAAACCTTTGTGATAACTTTTCTTTATATTCTATGATAGAATTCCTGAGTCCAAGCATTTTGTCAGTATATCAGTATTACAAAAACGTATTGCAATACATGTACGATATTTTTTGTCAACATACCGCAATATACCAGAATATCGGTATTATTTCCTAGCCCTATTTAGCAGCCATACACTTTACATGAATATTGAGATATATTAAATGTGATGAATTTTCACATGATTTTACAGATATTGCTACAATGTTTAGTTATACATGTGTATTTAGATCTTTCACTTGCTCACTTGCCTTTAAACTTAGAAGATTAGAAGAATGTCTCAGCTGATCATAAATTATAAAGGTTTTTTTGTAAAAATTTCAATATGCTTGAACATGAAGGCTCGTAACAACATTACAATGTTCAGAGTTAAAAAAAAAACAAACGAACAGACAGACAGACAAAGTGGTTTTAAAATTATGAACATGCCAGGGAGACCACGCAATATTTTGCATCATTAAGGAGGAACATTCCTGGTCAAAGAGAGATAAATTTAACGTGTTCCAAACTTGGCAGTGTTCCTACCAGTATAAGACTTGCATCATAGTTTCAAAACTTTGACATTATAGTAATTACATCTTTTTCTTTATAATAAATACAGTCAAACCTTGTTATCTTGAACTCGATGGGACCGGTCATGGAGAAAAAACTTTGAGATATCCAAGGATTCGAGATATCAGGGGTAAATTACCGGTACTTAAAGAAATAGAGTTTGGGACTTTCAAATCACTTCGACATATCCATGGTATTCGAGATATCAGTGTTCAAGATATCAAAGTTCAACTGTAATCAAAATTTATACTTATAAGGAATAGATAGTTTCATTGAGCCTATAATAATTTGATTCAGAAGTTGCAGTACTGTAGCATGACATTATGTGTGAGTATTCCATCACCTTGATAAATTTACCAGAAAGTAGTTATTAAGGATTCATGAGAGCACAGGTATTTTAGAAATGTGTTAAGGAGTACCTGAATATCAATTACAAAGCATAGTTTACTTTATATATTTGATTTATAACAATAACTTATGAAAATGGTGAGTGGTAATAATTGTGACAGAAAATAAATGTGTTTTACAGTACATTATGCCCTCGTTATGAACTTATTTTGCATCAGAACTTGTGCGTTATTGGTTTTTCTCATATTTCCGTGTATTTATGCCACAAAATTTCATAAGTCTCTTATTCAAGTCCAAAAATTGAAGGATTTGTTAGCATTATAATTCATTTATTCCATTAAATTAGCACATCATAATTAACACTTTTCAAAATGAAGTGATAAACATTAATATACCGTTATCATGAAAAGTTATATTGAAATATGTCAGCATATTATATATATTAACAGCTTCTTCGTATTAATTATCAAAGGTAAAATTATATTTCATGATTTATTAAAATTCATAATTAGTCAATGTTCATTAATTAGATATTTAACTTGGCAAAACTGTAGAATTAAAGCCATGAAGAAATTAGCAGATTCTGCACCTTCTTCTAACTCGATCATAGGACTTGACTTGTATATATGGCATTATACAAGGACTTGTCTTAATTGTCACGTAAAATTATTATAGATTTATATGTCGGAGCTTAAATAGTGCACTAAATCATCAACCAATTGTAATTTTCAATGTGTCTATTACTATTAACCAATAGATATGAATTTATGCCCCCCCCCCCCCCCCAACACACACATGCATACACAAAAGTTAGAAAAGGCATGTCCTCAGCTTGACTTGGAATTACAGCTCTGGACTCTTTTCTCTTTCAATTTTCTTTAAAAATATGTCATTCTGAAGAAATTTGACTGAAAGATATTGAAGATCTGTTGGAAGAAAAGAATTAAACACTCCATAGTAGTATTTAATAAGCTGAGAGTACAACAGTCCCAGTGTTCAAGTAGAAAAATTGGTTTTGCTTTTCAGGCCTTGAAAGTTTGTTTAGACACAGATTTTGCTCAGCGCATACCTGAACAAGGTTTTTACCTGCATGGAGAAAGAAAAAAAACAGCCGACACACGCCAGAGATCATTTTTAATTTTCTCGTATATACCAAACATTTTATGACCCATGATGCAACAACTCATTTAATAGCCAATTTATCAATGGATCGTTGACAAGGCAAACATGCCTAGTATTTAATTTCAGGGAGAAAAGTTATTTTTTTGTGCCTTTTCACTCACAATTTATTACTTGTCTTTTGTCTGTTATGACAGATAAGACAAAATCTTTAATAGCCTTTGTATTATTTATTTTCTGTACATAGAATTTTTTCCCCATTGTTTGACTTCCAGGAAAAATAAAAAGATCCTGCCACACAGTTAATACAGGTGGAAATAATTTTAAAGCTTCAGAATTACTTTGCTCTTGTTTAGTATCTAATGCTAGTTACTTTGGTTGGGCTTCCATCATTAAGTTGATTAATTTTGGGGGTTGAAGCAGATTCAAGCCATTCAATGTTTTCTGATTTATTGATCGTACAGATCGAGTGACAAAGACTGACATTGAATCATGCACATCAAAAAATCCAGGAATAAAAGTGTAAATATGAGATAGCCTGCTTCCACAGCAATCACCCATCAACATTGAACTGTGTGTACTTTTGTTTTTCAATCTTTTGACAAGGGGGGCAGTGACGAAAGCTTTTGGAGTCTTATCAGCTGTAATCATTGAAGGAGGAAAAGAAATTGGAGACAAAAAGCAAGATTGTTTGTTTTTTGGTTGAGGAGGAGAAATTATATCCTCTTTCTTGCAGTTCTCAGGTTTAGGAGGGTGGATATTGGATTCTTTCATCCTGGAAATCACAGCAACCCAGACTGCTCCAAGTTTTAATGGGTTGTGGAGTTTATCAGTATGAAACAGTCTAGCAGATATCATCCAGTGACAACCAAGTTGTTTAATGCAATATCTTTGAGTGCAAGGATTAATATATATATATACACTGATGCCTCTGTCTGACATCTAAGTGTTGGAATCAACAGATATCAGAACTTGGTAACTTGAAAAGTTTTCAAGCTTTGTTTAAAGTTAAACAGATCATCTTTTTGAAGTTTTCAACTTTCCATTAATGTGAAAATTGAAACAGAAAGGAGGAGATTAGTTAATGGGGAAAAGAGGTTACCTTCAAATTAAAGCTAATGTGAAAATATGGACAGATTTTATGGCTAATGGAGAAATTGAGTTCGAGGTTGTCAGGCAGATAGCAAGACATTATGATGTAATTCTAAACAGGAAGTGCATCGGAACTCTTAAGGAAATTCAGCCGTCGTCTGTCGGTATTTGTTGAAAAGAGGATTGACTGAATGTAACAGGTGTGTCTCAATGCAGGGACTGTAGATTCTTCTGACAAAGCAGTGTCTCTCAGAGAAGATCCGTAAAGTTATTGCGTAACCCACATTGATTTCATTTGTCTAGGGGTCACTGGAGATTTCACACATTTATAACAATCTGTGGCAATTACTCTGTGATTTACAGGGTTTTGTTGAAATTTCATGTCGGTGTAACCCTAGTTTTGTTGTTTTCTCGGATTTTAGATCAAATATGAATTCGACAGAGAGAGTGATTTGGAACTTACATAATATGGTGAGAAAATATATTTTATTTTCCTGTAGAAAAGATCTTTAAATAAGATTTTTTTGTCTTTTATATCATGTAAATGGTGGGATCAGGTTCAGATTATACATCAATTTTAAAAAATGTTCAATTATTACAGATATATCTAGAAAATAAACATCAAAGAAGGGCTTAACTTTATGCTAATATTTTATCACATTTTAATTTCCAGCAGAAAACATTACTCTAAAGTATGAGCTATAAATCGTAATCATCAGGCCCAGGCATATGATGAAAATATTTCAAATTTTTCTTCATGTAGTATCTTAACCGACTTGTTCCCTCTCTTGGCCTTAATTTTCATATCTTATACAAAACTTTTGCATCATGGTGTTCATGCAGGTCTATTCCCGTACACATCTAAAAATGCACGATTTGTCTTTTTGCTGACATGGGGTACCATTTCTTCTGTAAAAATCAAACAGAGCTGTGACAGCTAAACTAGACAGCCTACAAAGAATTCCTGTATCCATTAAAAGTGTACTTATGTTCCATGATCATCATACAGATGTTTGGGGTTCTTCTTGTCATTTTATCTGATTTTGGGGGGGAATTATATTATTTTTTAGCTCCCCATAGATTTCAAGCCATGAGTCATAGCATTTTTTGCATGTCAATCTTGTATTGAGTTCAGGTATGTTGCCATATTTGAAAAAAAAAAAGTGATATTGATTTATTGTTTGCTTTCTCCGGGGGAATTTAAATGTGTGCATGTTGCATTAAGATAAGACAAGACGAATGTGTCATGTTTTTTTGAAATGCATGCTAGGTTGTGAGATTATGTCAAATTTAACTCACATGACTTCATAAAATTTCAAAGATTGATGAAATGCATATTTATGTTCAACGTTCATTTTTAAATTTTTAAGCAAAAAAATCATTTTTCTAAAAACGTTTTAACATACTCCAGTAACAGAAATTGTTTTTTGATGTTTATGATGAATATTTCCTTTCTACTGTGAAATCACTAATTTTCATGAGGGTTTAATTTTTGTTGTGTTCATGGTATATATGAAGAGACCCACAAATTCATGTCCTCCAGGAAATGCAAAACAACTCAGCACTTCTTCATCCAAGAAATCAAATCCCCATGAACCAATAATTTTTCTTCAAACCTCGAAAATTTGACCCCACAAAAATATATGATTTTACTGTATATAAGAAACAAAATAATATAATGAGAGAGAGAGAGTTGAAATCTTTACATTTTGTGCAAGGAGATACCAGAATAATCTTAAGAACCTATGACAAAACATTTTGCTTTGGATTTCAGTATATGCAAAGTATGGGATACTAGACATTTCACTTTTCAAGATCATGGTGACCTATTTTTTGGACTGTATGAACTGGCCAGATTTGTGAGATGTGAAACGGAGTCCATTACAAACCTAACATACAGATGGTTACACAGACAAACAGGAAACAATACTCTTTTAAACAACCAGACATGGAAAAGTGTTTTATTATCAAAGAATTATAATACAAACTTTTTTAATGACAGTAAATTGTATTTATTCTCTAAAAACAAAAAAAGAAAAAAAAAGAATGCTGCCAAGGATTTTTTTGGGGGGTGGGGGGATTTTGGTGTTGGGTACTTAATATGTTATATAGGTAGATACAGGTAACAAGCCATCCTTGACATTGATATACTGCATTTGGTTTTAGAATCGCCGCCCCAGAGACCCACATCGGCGAGCTACCACAGTGGTGACTTATAACCCGGGCTGTGAGCAGGACTTTGACAATCGGTCAGACACCATGTCCAGCTCGGAGGGACCGACACTGAGGCGAGGGGGATGGATGAGGAACAGCATGCCAGTGATGAAATCCCCACCAAACATGTACGACAAAATGGCAGGTTAGTCACAATGTCCTGAAATCCAGTTTAGAAAGTCAAGAATGAAAAGCAAGGACAGTGCAGCTCATCTGTGTGAGCCTATGAGGCCCCTGCAAAATCTGACAAGAGAAAATGTAGTAGAAAATTTGCCCACCCATAGCTGCAAAATTGTGAAAAGTAATTGAGTAAAGTGGACTGAACAGGTTCATATTGAGGTGCTGGGCTTTTACATTTGTATGGCAAAGTAAGTAGGGATAGAAAGTCAGAAATGAATTGCCATAAACATACTATGAAACTATAACCATTTTATATAGATAATCTGCAAAGAGTACGTGGTGCACATACTTTTTTTGAACAAAAATAACTACAAACCAAACTAGGTCTTTGGAGTTCGGTTTAAAAATATATCTATTTAGACAAAATGTAAATATTTTCCTACATTTTCCCAATCAGAAGAATAGTTAAAGAGACGTTACAATTTGCCAGAAAAGATTATCTGTGTGTAATGAAAAGTGGTCATGAAGTTGGTTATAAAAAGAAACTGAGCAGTCATTATAGGTGAGGGCTGGCTCTTCTCAGAATCTCTGGTGGGTAATTTATCAGCAGTTAAATTCCTACTGAGCCCCAGTGAGAGATCCCTGGTGGTGGCAGTGATACTAGGGTTTTTTTTTCTGAAGATGATAAGACGCTGGTGGGGGGTTGTCAGGTATACATGAGGTATTTCTGTGGGGAGGCAGACAAGAATGAAATATAGGAAGACATTAGAAGTTTGAGGGAATGGAGAGATGTCAGGAATTTCTGAAGATCCAGTATGGATTTTGGGTGTATGTGTAACAATGTAATCTAAAACAGCTTCAAAAGTAATTCTCTGATAATCATTGTTGTTATTAAATTGTGTGGTATGTTGGTATAATGTCAAAGATGATATATAGCTAAGAGTATCATTTTCATAATTAAAAGACACACAAACATTTTGTTGGTACATTGTATATTAATTCTGTAAACGTCATATTATACATTATTGTCTTTGTTGCAGAAAAGATTATTACTTCAATTACAGTAAAACAGTCGCTTATAGCAAACATGCTTATAATGAATTGATGCTTACTGGTACAGTGAATTGATTTTCATTCCCTGTGACTTTAAAGTACATTTGTACTCTTAATGGATATAACAAATAATGCTTATAACGAAGCAAAATCATCTCTTCCAGGCACTTTATTATAAGCTTATTTTACTGTAATGACTTTGTGAACTCAAGACAATGATTATGCAACCCAAAGAATGTAGGACAGTATCTACTTAAGCTGGAAATTAATGGCCATATAAATATATAATATTTCTTACATCATTGTAGATATCTAATTATATTCATAATTTTGCTGATTTGTTATTTAGGTGTTGTATTTTTGGTGGTCGGGGACCAGACAAAGAAAGCGGAACTTCCAAATGAGATAACCCACCTGGACACGGTGAGAGCATTGTTTGTCCGATCATTCCCCAAGAAACTGACCATGGAGTATCTGGCCTCCCCCAAGCAAAAGATCTACATCTTGGACACAATGACAAATATATACTACCAGCTGGAGGATCTACAGTAAGTCTTAGTGGTGGATCAAAGTTTTTGTGGGATGTTGTTTAATTGTATGAAGCAAAATCCTGGAAGTTAAAAAGAAACTCTGCTTCAATAATATAGTATTTTTGCTGGTCAATTATTCTTTAGGGACATCAAGAATCGTACTGTGTTACGACTGTATAATTCTGACAGCGAAGACCCTCAGCAAGTCCGAGAACCACCCCCAGAGGTACGAGGAAAACAAATGCAGGTGTCCAGGGAACCCACTCCTCCCAGAATTCCAGAACAAGTATGGCTGCTAGCAACAATGAATCTGATAATAAAAAAAGTTGTTTCTGATATTTGGGACTGTCAAGTGTTTGTTGGAGTGTTAAGGCCAAAAATATTTGTTTTGTTTATGATGCTGTATAATAGTTTTTTTCTTTATATCACAATTATTGCCAAAACATTGTTAATTTTAATTTGCGTAGTCCTAGTTTTGCGATTGTCACAGTGGTTAAACAGAGTATTTATGTAATACATACAGTGTACAATGAATGCCAATTTATTCGAATTTAATTTTTAACAATCCAAAAATGCTTGCAAAGAAAGCAAAATTGGATCATCACGAAAATAACCAGCTATATGCTATATACAAAAGAAAAGGTCATTATTGTGTCATTCTTTTTTTTCAGGGTAGAAGATCACAGACCCTCCCTACAGGAATGACGCATTCCTATCCCCCATATCAAGAAAACCAGGTGCCACATGGGACAAAGTCAACAGATAGGTCAAGGTCACTGCCCAGAGGTCAAGGACCAGACTATGGATACATTACATATCATTCCACAGACAGAATGCAGGTAACAATGCATTACACATACACAGACAATAGTTACACAATCATTGTTAATGTGTTATTTACCCTATCACTGTATTAAACTTGTGTGATTTTGTTTAATATCACTGTGTTTAACTTGCCAGTGTGATTTTGTTTAATATCACTGTGTCAGTAGAGTGAAACACAGTGATCCTCCATAAACAGCACAATATATCAAGTTAATATAATATGTGTTTATGTATTGTTATTTTGTGCTAGTATTTGCTTTATTTTGAACATGCATTTCTTATAAGAGCATGAAAGCTGAAAATATGATTTACTAAATTGTTAAACATTTTAAATCAGTTTTGTAAAAATTATTACAGGGAATACTAATAAGAGGTTTGATTATCACTTTTGTTTTGTTTCATTGTTCTAAATGTTTTGCATTTTAAATAATATTTTCAGAAAAATCAAGTGATTTTTTTATCTGAATTAATTACTTTCCAGTTTAAACTTACCTTTTTTGCGTTTTTCTCCAGAATTCAGTAGATGGTCATCATTACCCATCCACCTCTCCGGATCGTCCGAATCTTCGCCCCATTCCAGAACATCGTCACTACCTGAATGGACATTCCCATGGTCATGAGATCAGGCGTTCCCCGCCTACTAACAGGAGTCGATCAGCTGATCCATACTACAGGGACCTATCACCCCCAGCACATGCAATCACTGCCCCTGGAGCACCCCCACAGACTTACATAGCTACAGGAGTGAGGGCAAACACCATGGTCTCCCCACTCAGAGCAACAGGCCCCTCAGGTCAAGATTCAAGTGAGTGAATCAAATTGTCTCTTTTTAAAACATATATATGAAAATTCAATACATCGAGTTACATATATTAAGTGCTAGCACAAGATTATTGCTGATGATTCAGAAAAATCAGTGATCATAAAAAATGAAGAATTAAGCCAATGATTATAAATACAAAGAAAAATTAATTACTTTAAATCTTTATCACTGTTAAATATTCCTAAGTATATGCAAGGAATTTATTATCACATAATTTTGCGAGACGCACCAAATAGAATTAATGGCTTTTATTTTTATATTGCTGAAATACACATATAAATCGCAGTCCACTTGCGAATTCATGTTCTCCTGATTTTGACTTCTATTAGTCATTTCATGATAAGTTCTTGCATAAGATTAGGAACCTGCAGTATATGCCATGTGTATATGTGAAGTTTTTCTTTGTTAGGAAACTTAAATCGTCACACTTTGGCTTTTACTCCGATGGGAGAACCCACGAACGGAACCATGCGATCCCAGAGTTACCGCGTGCCCTCAGATTCCAGCCAGCATATCCCTCAGAGACCTAGGAGTGTCACCCCACAACCCTACCCCCAGGAGGAAGTCAACCAGTAAGATTTCTTATCAATACCCTCAGCTGTCACACCTAAAACTGGGACTAGGTAGGGGCCCAAAAATAAAGTTGCAAAAATTTAGTCCAAAATTTATAACATCAGTATTAGTGTATGGAAATGAAAATCATTGTCACAAATGTATCATTCAACCAGAACATACAATATTTATTGGGATGGTTATGCAGAGATATTGTGAGGAGGATAAATGACTGTAGAAAAACATTTTAAAATATTTTTATACTTGAGTCATTCATTAGTAATATATTAAATATTAATTAAAATTCAATAGTATATTTAATTGAAATTGCATCCGCAAGGAACTTCTTATTTTTGAAAAGTACCACATGTTTCTAATCTTTCAGAAAACCCTGCTGACTGACCAATACCTTGATTCAACTGGCATAAGCTTGCTTAAGAATTACAGTACTATGTAGATTCTACACTTGAATTACGATGTAGAATTAAAATATCATTCCACTGGGGTGCCCAGTCATCAAACTTAACTGGATTTTGATCAACTGCAGTGATCACATTTTGACTTCTTTTTATTACATGTATCCTTGTACTGTAGATTTCGTATGGACAAGATGGAGGAGCAGATTGCAAGCCTGGCAGCTTGGGTACAGACCGCCGTGTCCAGTACAAGTCGCACTACCAGTGTCCATAGCAGTCACACCACTACTCCATCTGAGCAGCCTAGCTCAGCTACTAGTAGTAAGTTATCTTGCATTAACACCACTCCATCTGAGCAGCCAAGCTCAGCTACTATAGTAGTAAGTGATCTCACAATAACACCACTCCATCTGAGCAGCCTAGCTCAGCTACAAGTAGTTAGTGATCTCACCATAACACTACTCCATCTGAGCAGTCTAGCTCAGCTACTAGTAGTAAGTTATCTCACTATAGCACCACTCTATCTGAGCAGTCTAGCTCAGCTACAAGTAGTTAGTGATCTCACCATAACACCACTCCATCTGAGCAGTCTAGCTCAGCTACTAGTAGTAAGGTATCTTACCATAACACTACTCTATATTAGCAATCCAGCTTAGCTACTAGTAGTAAGTTATCTCACTATAGCACCACTCTATCTGAGCAGTCTAGCTCAGCTACAAGTAGTTAGTGATCTCACCATAGCACCACTCCATCTGAGCAGTCTAGCTCAGCTACAAGTAGTTAGTGATCCCACCATAACACCACTCCATCTGAGCAGTCTAGCTTAGCTACTAGTAGTAAGTTATCAGCAATAGACAGTAAATTCCTCACAGGAATCAGGTCAGTTACTTTATCTCAGAAAAAAGACAGCTAATCTTTCAGAGCAGTAGGCTCAGCTACAAGGGGTGTACTATATCACCTCTCTCCAAGCAATGTCTGCTCAGTTTATAGCAGTATCTCACATGGTCACTATTACTCCATCCAAGCAACTAAGCTCAGCTTGTAGACATTGTAGTAATTTATCTTACCTAAACATTACCACTCCATCCACCCAGCCTGGTAGTGTGATATAATATCTAGCCAATTCATACTATACTGTCAATTTGGAGTTAGTCATCAAATCACTTGACTTCAAAAACTAGTTCTAATACATGTACATGTAGTTCCAGTTCCCTCTTTTTTAAAATGCTACACATGTAAATATATGTGATTGTAACCCAATGTCACATCATACACAATTTCAATAGTACATCTAGCCCCCGAAGAGCCTTTCTCAGTTGTATGTACATATGTACCTGTAACTATGTAAAGTCTCATTAACCTTATATATGATGATTCTCTTATTCCTCTGTGTTTTCCATAGAAGCCTAGAATATTCTGTATCTTTCTTGCTTTAGTTGAGGAAGCCAGTCTCTTACCTGTCAGTAGAGGTATATAAAACCAACTGTTGTGTACAGCATGGACGTGGGATTTTTAGTTTTTATTGTTTGAGCTTTTGTGAGATGCAGTGAATTTTTTTTCCCTTCAAGTGTAGACTTATTTTACATCACCAAAATTCCAGTTTAATTATTATTATTTTTTTTTAAATTATTTTAAATGCATTATTTTGTTATTGTTCATCAGTATTGTATTTCCCAACAACTGCACATTATGAATGTTCTTGATTATAATGTACATTGTACATGCATGTATATGGTTAATTGAACGTCTTTGAAGTTTTCTTCATGCAATATGATTAACAAATTATTTGAAAATTTGTAATCTGTTCTTCTAATTTTTAATTTTACTGATCAATTTATTATTTTTAATCTGAATTTAACTTTTTAGGATTTTTAAATATTTTTTTTTTAAAGTACATGGTGCAACTGCTTTTTAATTTATGCACTATGACTCGGACAATGATAAAAACAACTACATATACTTATTTTGCAGCAATTTTCTATCAAAATTCTTCTACTCCAAATTGTCTTTCATGCAAAATATGGAAGTGCATGTGATAAATTGATTTATAATTTGTTGATTCAGTGAATGTTGCTTTCTCATTATAAAGCTATACATCATTCCACTTCAAGGTCTTTCTGACATTTCGGGAGTCACACAGAAGGCTGTGACCAAGAATCTGAAGGATGGAATTCTGACGATAAAGAAACAGGCATCTCATCTAAAGGGGGATCTCCGACAGATTCGACGCCTTCATCAGCTGAACAAAGAAAGCCTGCAGGAGTCGATACACGACACCATGAAAAAAATAGCAGTAGGTTTCCATGGTCATGTTCACTAAAAATTCATTTCATTTATAATGGGGAAAAATCTTGTTAACAGTCTTTTATTGCGAAGTCAAAATCAAATGCAAAATTTTCAACCCCCAAAATTGTCCATTATTTTATAGTATCTGAAAAAATGGAGTGAAATTGACTGAAAATAGATTGAAAAAGTCAGAAAATCTATGACTTTGTTGCAGACAGCCTTACGAAGTGTACCTGGTGCAGAACATCAGTTGCTACGACAACACAGAGTGGAAGCAGATACCACAACTCAGAAATACCTGGAAAAGAAATGTCAGGCCAGCAAAGAACTCAGGTAAGGGGCAGGGTTGTCAAGAAAACAATTATACAGGACAAACACTATACACTGCAGCCCCATGTGTATGGCAGGAAAAGTGTTTCATGGGCAATATTTATGTGAAGGATTTTTTCTTGCATATTTGTATCCCCCCCCCTTTCTGTAATTTCCCACACTAGCAGTATTTCAGTATTTTACCTAAGTACCTCCACATGTAAATTTTCCCATTTACAGTATTTCAGTTTTTGTGCTGTGTTTTAGTGATTTTGAGTGCCTCCACATGTTAATTGCCACATACACAGTATTTCAGTTTTGTGTGTGTTTTAGTAACATGGAGTGTCTCCACATGTAACTTTTCAAATTTACAGTATTTCAGTTGCTTAGTTTTACAGTTTTTCAGTTTTGTGTCATAGCTTAGTTTTACAGTATTTCAGTTTTGTGTCATAGCTTAGTTTTACAATATTCCAGTTTTGTGTCATAGCTTAGATTTACAGTATTACAGTTTTGTGTCAAAGCTTAGTTTTACAGTTTTTCAGTTTTGTGTTTTATTATAGTTTTACAGTATTTCAATTTTGTGTCATAGCTTAGTTTTACAGTATTTCACTTTTGTGTTATAGTTTAGTTACAGTATTTCACTTTTGTGTTGTACTTAAGTGTTACTACATTTCAGTTTTATGTGCTGTATTATAATGATCTGGACTACCACCAATGTAAATTTCAACATTTACAGTATTTATTTTAGTTTAATGCAGTAATTAAGTTTTACAGTATTACAGTTTTACGTGCTGTATTGCAGTGATCTGGAGGGAGCTGTAGAAGAGTTGAGGGAGGATGTGATTTCACGTCAATGTCATGTCAACATGTCTGATGTAGAGGGCATGGCCCTAATGCTGAGTACAGTCACCAAGACATTTGGGGAACTCAAAGGTTTGTCCTGAAATGATATTAATTAATTTATCTGATCCTGTATCAAGCACACCTCATAATGGTTCAGATCCCATATAAAGCACATTTCATAATGTATCATATCCCATATCAAGCACTTCTCATAATGTAAGATCCTATATCAAACACATAGTGTAATGTATCAGATCCCATATTAGCACATTTTCAATATCTTTTCCAATCTTTGTAGCTGCTTTCCCAGAAATGCAAAAGGATCTGAAGAAAGTAATGGCTGGAGAAATGGAGATTGTTGTCACAGAAGAAAAGTAAGTGTGAGAAACTGGACAAACTTGATCTTGCTGAAAGTTGTAGTAAATCTAATTAATTACAATAATTTTACTCCAAAATTTTGTTTTAAAATTGTATTCCTTTGAGAGATAAAATGTTAATACAGAATAGAACTATGAAATAATGCATAAACTTTAGTAAGATTAAGTCAAGGAATTACTGTAAGAAAATTCCGTTCGTATTCTGGTTGTTCACAGATTTCTGAAAGAGGAGCCCGAGGCAATAGAAGAAGCTTTAAAGCGATGTAAACGTTTAACTGGTACCCTGTTCACTCTCAAAAGGTAAGTTGACCATGATGTAGTATGTATAAAGTGTTCAAATAAAGGGCCACTTCCTGGAAATAATTCAGAAATAAGGTGGACCCTTTAAAAATTCTTCTCTAGAACCAAATGGTTGGAAAAGAAAGCCCATTATGTTTATATGTTCAAAGTTTTTCAAACCTTGACACCAAAGCTATGGAGAACTGTTGAAAGTTTTTAAGATTTAACAAAACAGGAATTAAACAAAAATTAAAGATTTTTCTCCAGGTCAGCAGACCTTCAAATTACTATTAGTCAAGTTAATATGCAAAAATGTTCATTTAGTTAAATACCCCCCCCCCTTTTTTTTTTTTAAATCCTCAATGGCTAGCAAGGGTAGGCAAAAGATTACAAGATTTTTATATAAGATTTTATACAAAATAATTCATCAAAAAAAGAAATCTTTAAAGATAAAGAAGCATAGCTAAAATGTCCATATCTAAAGAAATGGATCCTTCAGTGATATCAACATGTTTTATGTAGGTGGCATTATGGAAGTTTGGGGAAGGAGGGGAGGGGGAGCAAATTTATTCTCTGTTATGATGTATAGTACCATAAATAATTTACTACTAAATTTTTAGGTTAGCATCAGTGCAAGAGCACAGAGCTCCTCAGGTTCCCACAAAGCGTGTGGGAGGGAAGATTCCATCAGAAGAGGACAAAAAAGCTTTGTTGGAGAACATTAGGGCCATGGTCCCCGATCATCAAACCCGAGTGTTGAAGTTAGAGGTACGTTACATGGAAGTCAGACTGGCTCAACAATAATATCTCTTGAGTCAGAGAACTTTTACATTTCTGAAAATTATGAATGAGAAAATGCAAAAAACTGTATCCATCTGCTTTGATTGTGGAGATTTTAATTAATAATCATTACATAAGAAATTTTGACAAGTCCTATAGCTTTATCTCTTTAAAGATGTCTTCATGTGTACCCTCTTCATAGATAATTTTTGTTTACAGGCAGCTGATGCATCTAGACAACGAAAGAAAAACATTATCACACAACAGGAAGCCCTCAAGTTTGGAAAGTCTTTAGAAATTGCTACACGTCTGCTTCGACCCAGCAATAAGGAGTCAGTATCGTCTGCTGATGATGGAGTCACCAAGTCGTCTGCTTCTGAACAAGTTCCTGCTGGTCAGTCTTCCTCCTCAGCTACCTCAGTCAGCGTGAAACCAAACACGGTGTTGTCATCAATTCCATCCTCAGCCATCACAGCTACATCCATCTCACCATCAGAATCAACTGCTGTCAAGTCAGATAGGTCGCCATCTTCTCGAGAAGTTTCGGAAAAACAGAGTGAGGAGTTTGTTAATCAAGAAGATGACCCCTGTCTACAGGCAGCACTTCTAGCAAAGAAAAAGGATATCGCTAGGGCAGCATTTTTTAGTTCAATGACCACTCCCCCTACCTCACCCTCACCCTCGGATGAATTGAAATCTTTCTCACCACCTAGACCTTTAATGGATTATACAGTTCATATATCACAAGTGAAAGATTCCAGTACTGGTGAAACTCAGTACACAGTTACAGATGGACGATTTTCACAGGCTTCTCATTCATCCGCGACTGCTCAACTAGTGACGTCTACTACAACTGCCACCCCCACAGGAAGTAATGCCATTTCACTGGCGAGTACTCGATTAAGTCCAACAAACATTCCAAGAATCTCCTCTATAGTGAAGTCAACAGAAACAGTGGAATCATCCAAAATCACTAGAAAAATAAGAACCTCCACACCTATTGCTAGTAAAGATAGTGAAAAAACGGTTTCGAAAATTCCTAGCCTTAGAAAAGATGGACAAAGTGAAAGTAGCAGTGGACCAGATGTACGGCCTAAAAAAATACCTCCTCCCCCACCCCCAAGGAAAAGCAGTCGTTTACCAAGTCCTGGGGTCAAAATGGACACTGAAGTTTCTCAAAATGGAAGTGTGTCTATAGTTTCATCCAAGCCAAAAATTCCCCCCAAAGACATAACCATCCTGGGAGGGCACCAAATGCAGGTGAAAGATTCTGGAATTGGTACCTCCACCCCAAAGTCTAGCATTCTTCCAAAACCTTCAAGTAAATTTGAGAAAGGGATTATTGAGGCCATAGCTGTCCAAAATAAAGAGAGTTTTAAGGATAGTGGAACAAAATTGGAGTCCCATGAACAGACATTGTCAGAACAAGAGGCACAAGGGGCCAGAGCTAAAATGCCCCCTCCCGGCAAAAAACCCAAACCACCCCCTCCTCAGAGGAAATCTAGTCTCTCTCATTCTGAAGAAAAATCACAGACTCTGAAAACAAAGGAGGATTTGTAGGGTCTAAACAGAGGAAATTCAGACTTAACACATGGTGCTGATTAAGATGTTGTTTTGCAACAGTTTAACCTCATTCTACAAAATTAGGTCTCTGTGATCTTTGACAAAGTTTGATGTAGTCAAATTACATATTTATAATTTTGTTAATTGATAACTTAATTCAAAGATTGAGTGTTGTTGACATATGGGCTCTTTCTCATGTGTTTTTACATGTTTACATCGACTTAGAATTATTTTTTTCTCACATCTACCTCTGAATAGAAAGGATCCTCCTTGTTCAATTCTAGTCAATTTCATGCAGAATGATAATATGGTGTCTAAACTTAAATGGTTGTGTTTTTTGCATGCTTATTAATGAATTATTGATCAGACAATGAACCATAGCTGAGCTTGAATTTTTTTCATACAATGAAAAAAATAAAATTTTGAAACTGAAATGCTTGTTTTGACTATTTTTCACATTTGCATAAAACTTCAATAATTCTCACCAGCTGCTCATCTAAACTCAGTTCTGGGAAAATAAACTACTAGTAATATTTATATTTTTTGCCAAACTTTGTCAACCCATCAAAGGTAACACATTCTTATTTTTAGGGCCCCGCAAGAATTTGCGGGTGCCCTATAGTAATCACTCTGTCTGTCTGTCCGTCTGTCATTCTTCCGTCCACAAATTTTCTGTTTTTTTCTAATAACTTTTTTTAGGGTTGACCAATTAAGTTCAAATTTGGTATGTTGGTTGAATAAGTAGTAAGACATATTTTGATGCTAATTTTGGTTCTCTGTGTCATCCAGTTTGGAGCTGGGGTGGTGGGGTAGATTCCTTAACTTTATGAAAGAGTGAATCGGCAAAGAGAGATAACTGCTGAGAATGTTCCTATTGTAAACTATGAAAGGCTGCAATGAGTCTCTTGGGATTAATGAACTTTTCTCTTGAAGAAAATCCAAAGCATTTATCTTTATCTGTCACATTGAGATTAATTAACACCTCTGTCTGCAAATGAAGTTTGTTTTGAAGTTAAGGTCAATTCTGAATGATGTTTACATTCTCTGATATGTGGATTTAAATACATGTAATGTTCATACTTTATTTTGGTAAAATACACAATGAGTTATTTATGATTTTATTGAATTCTACAAACAAGATATAGATAAAGATATCTTTTTTATAATTATTTTATTTTTTTTTTTTCTATTTTTCTTTCTTTTTTCTGCCTTAGGTAAATTCAAGAATACTATTTATTTTAAGAGGTAATCGGATAATAACCTCATTCTATCATTGCTGAAAAAGTTCTTGTTGTAAATTTAGCATAATTAATCCCCTGGGATTAATTATCTTGCTGGTCACAGAAAATTTTAGAGGGTTTATTCTGTTTCTGTCACTTTAAGATTAATTAACACCTTTGTCTGCAACTGATGTTTGTTTTGAAGTTAAGGTCAAGCCTGGGTGATATTTGCATTCACTGAAGACTGGCATTTTAGAAAACACATGTATGCTTCATTCCTCTTTAAATATACAATTAATTGAGTCATTATAGATATGATGTTTTTACTGCCTTATGTAAATACAAGGATACTATTTACAGGTTGTTGAATATTTAGCAGTTGCTGTTGCTTATTCTTCTTTATATATTTTTAAATATTTCTAATCAAGTAAAATTCTCATCCCGTAATCTACACCCTTATATTTCTACCCCTTGGCGGGGCCCTTGCTGACTGGTCAGATTTCTAGTGTTGTAGTGCATTTAATGAATTTTTCCTCTTTATGGTGACATAAAAGACAGGAGGTCCATGGGCCACAATGCTCACCTGAGTCACTATGGCCCTGCCATTTTCCAGCAGATTTTTTATCTGTATATATTCCTTTGTGAAACTTTGATCACTTATTATGGCCCAACCCTACTTCTGGTGTCATAATTTGAACAAACTTGGCCATAACTCTTGAATGGTTGGTGCAAGGGCTCTCATATTTTACGTGTATTCCTTGTGACAAGACTTTCCCATGGGCACCATTAATTTTGACCTTTTACCTTGACCTTGAAGTTTGACCTATTTTTGAAAAACTTTAACATTGGCAAAAACTATTGAGCTGGTGCTAAGGTTTTCATATTTTCTATTCCTTGTGACAAGACCTTTCTTTGGGTACCAAGAACTTTGATCTCTTGACCATAACTTGCAAATGAGAAAATTTAACCTTTGCCATAAGCTAATTTGCGGGCGCATCAGTGTTTAAATTCACAAACACATCATTTTCTTTTAAAATCCTGTGTAAAATTTGATCACCTAATACGGCCCCAACCTACCCCCATGGGTTGGGATTTGAACAAACTTGAATTTTACACTACCTGAGGACTCAGTACTAGTATTTATATGTTTAAACATCCAATGCTGTTAATGATAGGAAAATTCTGTAGTTTGTAGGTCACCTGAGTCAATCAGTTGACCTATTGCTGTCATCTGTTGCCCATTAACATTTAAACATTTTCAGCTTCTTCTCTAGAACCGCTGAACCAATTTTGGCATATGGTATCTACGGGCGAAAGGGAACAAAAATTGTGAAATTCATGGCCCCCATCCCCTGGAGCCTGAGAAGTGGGCCTGTATTTCATGATCTGATTCTACACTGTATAATGAAGCTTTCAAATAATTCATCAATTATCCCCCCTGAAAAAGGAAGTGGCTCTTCATCTCAACAAATTTGAATCCACTTTCCCCAAGGCGATTTTGGTTGAAAGCTATAGAGATTCTTGAGAAAAAGGTCTAATTAAAATGTGAAACGTTGACAGACAGGCAGACGAATGATTGACGGACAAACCATGATGATAAACATTCATAAATGAAGAAGCTAACCCTATAAGAGGAAACATAAACTGGGCAAGCCTTCATCATTTCAACTGGACTTGGAATAAGAATCATGGACTAATCTTTATGTCACAAAGAAAAATAACAATATTTTGATATAAAAAAATTTATTAACAATTTTAATGACTTAAATTGTTCATATACATATCTCTCATTACAGTATTTATAATATGTCAATATGATTGCATCAACTCACAGTCTCAAAATGCACACATCACTTAAATAGGTTAAATAAGATATAAAGAATGTGGACATATTGGTTTTTCTTTTGTCAAGGAAGCCCAGTTGTCAACTGTTTTTTATTCCTTCACATACAAGAGAGTTCCTATGTTGTATAATATCAATTCACTGAAAATACAGATTGTATTACATAGTCAATGTGTACATGTCATATACCATACATGTACATCCAGTAGGTGTCACATACATGTACATCCATAATATTAACTCATTTTTTTTCAGTTATTTTAACATGATTTTTTTATAATCTTAAAGTTTTCAAAAAAAAAAAAAAAAAAATGGTACACAACTGACATCCTCTAGCTATACTTGGTACCCTATATTACAAATAAAAGTAAAAAAGTTGATAGGTTTTCGGTTTGCCTTCAAAAGCTGATCTCCTGAGACAGAATATTTGCATGTAAGTGGAATTTTTTCTTATCAATAGCTGTGTTCTGATTGGATATAAGAATACTCATTAATGTCTTTAAAAATCCTACATCGGCTCTCATTCCTCTAACTGTATCACTGCTGTTGGAATGTTTTCCCACTGCAAGTAAATCAAAACCATAAATCAAATCTTCAGTTTTCTGTTCATCAGTCATTTATTGATTTAAATAAATTTAAATGCTTAAAATATCAAGTTTAAAATAGATAAATAGCGTTGCTCGGTCCATTTTTGAACGACCATAAACTGTTTTTCAAGCATGGTAAAGGGAGATAATGTCATAAATGATATATTTAACACAGCCTCCTTCTGATGTTTGGTGACCTACTGACCTTATTGTTTTCTTCTCTTTGCTTTTGACTTCTGGGCGTGCTCTGTTCAGTACTTTTAAGAATTCCGAGGTTTTGGATCTCATACGTGAATGGATATAAGCCTGAAAAAATAGATTTCTTCCATGTTATACTGCTGGTAATCTATGTTTAAAATTTTATAATGACTTCATATCTTTCAAGTTCAAAATAGAGATATATCTCTAATACCTTAATTAGAGCACAATGATAAGGCCGCTATAATTTTGCTATACAGTGGTGTTCACAAAAGACAATGCTCAAAACACCACAAGAATAAATACACGCATTTTTTTTATATATACCTTAGAACACTTAATGTGGTAATGCAGGTAGTCTCGGAGTGTATGAATGAGGTTAATTGTGTTGTCCCGAGCAGCCTTGCTAGTGTGGCGAGGAAATAAAACTGAAAATAAATATAAATCATTTTAGTTTTACTATTCACCATGACTATCCATTCAGTCATTCTGTAGACATGATCACAAAACTATTAAGTTCACATCACAGTGTTTTTTTAATCAGATTCCTGACCTAGGTTTGAATTTGCTCAATTTTACCCATATTTTTCTAAACACAGTGTATTCTATTTAGTGCCTTCGGCGGAAAGCACTTTCCACTTTATCAAGTACATCGCTAACTGTTATGCATGTACATATTTATCCTTTGCATGTTCAGAAAGCACTAAATAAAATCTTGGCCAACTTGCTGTAAAATCAATTTCCGCTAAATATCGTGCATGCTAAATATATTTACAGTATTGTTTTGAATTTGTGTGTTCTTATACCCATTTCTTTATTAGTCTATCATTTAAGATGCTTAACTGTAGATTTATAGTTTTGTCCTACCATAAAGTGAAACCCGAAGAAAAAAAAAATGAAGTAAAAAGAAAGTTGTATTCAGAAAACAGTCGTAATTAGGAGTTGAGTAGTTATGGAACAGAGTAATAAAACAAGCCCAAAACTTATTCAGATTTACTGTACTCTGCTTTAAACAATATATAAAATATTTTATGAAAAAATAAAACTTCAAAGTTCAAAATTGCTTCCCTTCAGTGATAATACTGCTCTGTCAACATACCGAATGTAATGTAACCTATGTTATCCCCAACACGTGCGTCAGTGCCTGCTAACTCTTGGGGAGGATCCCGGTGAGAAAATAGCACCTGGGGTGCCTGCTGGAACTTCCTACGACCCTCCTTAAACTCCTGCAACACAACAACAGATTTAGAAACTAAAAGCAGAGAAGATTCACTTGCCCACTTACCTTTCAAATAAAATCCCACATATAGAGTCGCCTTCATTTTCTTGACATACATGAAGCTCATTTAACATCTGTCAATTGAGAACCCTTGTGTCAGATAAGAGTGAATAGTACACCAAATTATTTCTCTATTTCTCAGGGTTTTCCTTCAAAGTTGGCACCAGGTGAATTCCTGCCTCCTATTTAGTGTATGTATGATTAACTCACAAAGACTCTCCTAGTGGATTTGTACTTTGTGCTCCACGTGGAAATGCCCCCACCCCCACCCCCCAATTCATAAGAATTTATTGGCTACTGTTTACGTTTGGAAAATTAAGTTAAGGAGTACCTTTTCCCACATTCTCCCACTTTACTAGTTTTCATTTGCCAAGATTTATTTTCCATTGGCTTGGTGACTGTATAAGAAAAATATGAAAGTGAAATGTTTGATTTTGTGTCAGTGCATCTCTGTACATACCTGCATAAAAACTTTTCCTATAACAACATCGTCATCATCCCTAAATATTGTGCTAAAAATAACTGTCACTCTGTCCTTCTGTGCATCTACATACCTAATAAAGAGTAATAAATGGTTAATACTCCAAAATTTGAAGAGACCTGTATACATATAAAATACATGGTTACTGTCTTGAAATATAAGAGATACTGGGCGAGATAGAAGGCGAGGCTTGCCTGGCCTTCTTTGCATTTTCGATCCAAGTCCAAATATCGCTTATATTTCAAGACAGTTATCATGTATTTTATTTATCCTGCAACATAGATTTACAGTTGAACTCCAAAATGAGCTACTGTATACAGGGTTATTTTTGCCCCCTGTTATTTTCGGCCTTTCACACTTCCAAATAATTTTGCCCCATTTTAAATTCGCCCAATCACAATTCTGTTTAAGAAATTATACTGTGTTTCTTGAATTTGCTCCATTTTAAATTCGCCCAACTGTGAGTAGGGCGAAAATAAAACGGGGGCAAAAATTTCCCTGTATACATTACTTTTAACAAATTTTGGATCATCTCTGCAGTTGAAACTATGATGCCATGGTATAAACAATGCAATATAGATGATGTGAAATTAAACCCATTCTGAATACTATCATTAGTTTTTAAAAATGTTTAAATGCTTATACGAAATTTAAATCAATTTCTTGCAGTGTGAAATTAAAACCACCGCGATTGGTACTTTTGAGAAATCGTGAAAATTTAACACCATGGAATTAAAATGACTTACAGTATATAATTTATGAAATCTCAATTGTGTGGGGTTTTTTTGAATAGGGAGGGTGCTTTTTTTTCTCAAAAATTTTCTATTCAATATTTTTTAAAATGCTGTTCTTTGTTCATTATGAAACAGAAAAAAAATCTGTGAAGGAAATAAATTCATTTATATTCTAATCTGTACTTTAGGAAGTAGGAAATTAGTCTATAAGTTAATTTTCCTTTAACTTCCTTAACTTAAACAAATTTTCAAGAATAAAGTTATGTTTTATTCTAAATATTTGAAAACATTTGTCATGCTATTATCAAGAAATAAACATTGGAAAACTTTCCTCATTGCACTGAATATGCTATGACAATAGGTATAACACACCAAATATTTATGCTTTAAAAATATGTTTAGAAAATATGCCATTACAACAATATGCCAATAAAGAACATATGGAATCATTTCCTTTGTGCACTGAAAAACATCACTGATTTCATCCCATCTCAAATCACCTTAAAGTTAAGACTTTTAGTGCAAAGGGAAAATATTCTAATAAAATTGGTGTCTCTATTGTAAGTACATTCATTTATCAGAAGTTTAGACATACATTGTCTCGTCATTATATCAGAAGTTTAGGCATACATTGTCTCGTCATTTTATCATCAGTTTAGACGTACATTGTCTCGTCATTTTATCATCAGTTTAGACATACATTGTCTCGTCATTGTATCAGAAGTTTAGACATACATTGTCTCGTCATTATATCAGAAGTTTAGGCATACATTGTCTCGTCATTTTATCATCAGTTTAGACATACATTGTCTCGTCATTTTATCATCAGTTTAGACACACATTGTCTCGTCATTGTATCAGAAGTTTAGACATACATTGTCTCGTCATTATATCAGAAGTTTAGACATACATTGTCTCGTCATTATATCAGAAGTTTAGACATACATTGTCTCATCATTTTATCAGAAGTTTAGACATACATTGTCTTGTCATTTTATCAGAAGTTTAGCCATACATTGTCTCATCATTTTATCAGAAGTTTAGACATATATTGTCTCATCATTTTATCATCAGTTTAGACATACATTGTCTCGTCATTTTATCATCAGTTTAGACATACATTGTCTCGTCATTTTATCATCAGTTTAGACATACATTGTCTCGTCATTGAATCAGAAGTTTAGCCATACATTGTCTCGTCATTTTATCATCAGTTTAGACATACATTGTCTCGTCATTTTATCATCAGTTTAGACATACATTGTCTCGTCATTGTATCAGAAGTTTAGACATACATTGTCTAGTCATTATATCAGAAGTTTAGGCATACATTGTCTCGTCATTTTATCATCAGTTTAGACATACATTGTCTCGTCATTATATCAGAAGTTTAGACATACATTGTCTCGTCATTATATCAGAAGTTTAGGCATACATTGTCTCGTCATTATATCAGAAGTTTAGGCATACATTGTCTCGTCATTTTATCATCAGTTTAGACATACATTGTCTCCTCATTATAGCAGAAGTTTAGACATACATTGTCTCATCATTTTATCAGAAGTTTAGACATACATTGTCTCGTCATTTTATCAGAAGTTTAGCCATACATTGTCTCATCATTTTATCAGAAGTTTAGACATATATTGTCTCATCATTTTATCAGAAGTTTAGACATATATTGTCTCCTCATTTTATCAGAAGTTTAGACATACATCGTTTCATCATCCCTGTACTGGATAACTGCCCTTTTGTTACCAGTGGCTCCCTCTTCTTGAAACTGGAAGTATTTCTCAAACACTGATGCAAAGCAGTTCCGCTTCAGTAAGCCGACCTTTGTGACCCAGTCTTCCCAATCTTTCGGCACTTTTTCAAGGTCAAACACCACTGACACATTATAACCTTAAAAACCACAAGAAACAATTTTTTGGATTTTTTTCCCCCTCCTAAATTCAAACCGATTTCAGAAATAATGAAATTTGTGATCTTATCCTTTGTGAATTATCAGATGGCATAAAGTTTCAGTTTACTTAAGCAAGGATATTAAGCAGTTAATACTTTGTTAAAACATGTTTTCCAGAATTGTAATGTAATCTATGATAAGTTTCTTTAGACAGGGATATTGAACGGGGAAGGAGAGGACAAGCTGAAAGAAAAATTGCTTAAACTGATTTTATTCCTTAAAATAAAAAAATCTGCCTCCAAATTAATATGGGAAAAAACATTGCTGAATACTATACAGTATATATCCAGAAATGATTAAACTCTTGATCACTCTATTAGTCCTTGATATTTTTCACAAAGACTGCATACAGGGAATTTTGGGCCCCATTTTCACCCCTTTTGCCCTTATCATCAGTGAGACAAAGACAGATTTATATCTCTTTCAACACAACTGTGTCTTGATGAAATTAAAATGGGTCAAGTCATCTTCCAAAGGGTGAAAATAACACAGAGGAAAAATAACCTTGTATACAGTACATGCTAATCCTTTTTTAACATTTTTTCCCCTAGAGGACTTGGGATAAGAGGCTGACCTTGTAAAGTCAAGATCATATATTAATTTTTTTTTATTTCCTGTATAAATAATCTGATTGTGATGAAATAACTTCTCTTTAGGTTTAGATATGGAACAACATGTGTCAAATTTTTTGTGCTAAATACTGATAAAAGGAAGGGTTGTTTTTTTTAAATTTGAATATATGAATATGCATGGGGACACATTAAATATAAGCCTGAGTATCAAATAAATTAAAAATTACCTTTATCACCTACACAAAATAAATTAAAATAATTTAATAAAATGTAAACATGTACCATTACTTAGCACATTGCTGCAAAACACACAGACACATAACTTATCACATGATAAAAGCAATTTTATGTAATTTTTAAAGCAAAATTTATACATATATGTCTAGCAATAATGTTTATTTGTATTTTTTAAGTCATCTCTTAAAATTTCTAATGCAAACAAAATATCTTTACTAAAAACAGAGAAAGATTTACATCGGCTGTTAATTAAACAAACTTCCAGCTAATAGCATGTAAAAGAAAAGTAGGCAAGCCTTAAACAGATGACATTTTCTTTTCTCAGAGAATGAATTATGCCTCAGTAACAAAATATGACTGCAAAATAGATAAATTTTTGATAATTCTCAGATAATTTCTTACCCTCCTCTGGGGTGGCTAAGTAGTCTCCGTAAACTTTCTTGATGAGCTAAAACAAACCAAGAATAAATCTGTTAAAGTGCCTCCACCCTCAAACTTTTTATGGATTCAAACTAGGAAAAATGCACTAATTTCAACTTCATATACATCTACATAATTGATAATCACAGAAAATGTATAGGGCGTCATCTTTTTAAAAGATGTCAGGCATACATAAACAGACATATATATAAATGTGTTAACATAAAAAAATCACACATTTTTTGGTAAACAGCATAATCAGAAAATGTGTAAAAACTGGTTCAAATGACATGTAAGTGCTTCTAAAAGTTTCATATAATTGTTTCTTTAATATGTGCATATTTAAATTGTGGATATCAGGGAAACCATTATATGACAGATACAATCGATAAAATACACGAATTCATTTTAGAGCACTATAGCTCTTTGCACAATTTTTTTAAGAGTAAATGACTGGTTAATTATGAAAAATATCAATTTTTTTACACTCTGTACTAAACCATATTTTTTTTATCGTACTTGCTGGTAAACAATCCTACAAAAGATATGATTCTATTGGGCAAAAAGTTTTATTAAAATTTTTGCAAAAAATAAAAAAACTGTGTCACATGAGGGTTGAGGAAACTTAATCAAAAGCAGAAAAAAAAATTAAATCTTGTATCAAAAAGAAAAAAAAAAATCATGGGAAATTCATCATACGTTGTAAATATCTCATTATTTTCCTGCAGAACAGGACCATGAGCTCCTCATAAAAGGGTGATGCATGAAAATTTATACTTGTCATATTATAATTTTATTTACATCATCCCCTCTCGTCCCTTTCAATGGAAACACTTCTGATCATTGTTGAAAACGGAAATTTCCTCTACCTAAGGTTATTTCTCCCATCCCCAGTTTTAAAGAAGAAGCTGCTAAAGTAATTAACTTTAAGGATAATTGAAATGATTCAGATGATGCAACACACTTCAGGCAAGAAAAACAATTTTTTTTCAAGTCAAATCCTTTAACTTCAAAATATTCAAACCTAGAACTTGACAGCTATAGATTAGCTCATCTTCACTGCAAAGGGTGATGATCTGTTCCTCTTCTATTTTCACCAGAAGAGGAGTGGATCATCACCCTTGGTTAGCAAAGATGAGCTTAGCCCAACAGAGAATGCCTCTGAAGAGTTTACTGTTGTCAGACAGTCTTTGATATTGAAAATAAATCAGAAAATTTACCTCATCTGCTCCATGTCCCTGTAAATCTTTGTAAAACTTCAAGGATATGCTGACCTGAAAGAATATTTACCATTTTACTTATCTGATTTATCAGAGTATTTATTATTGAATATATTTTCATAAACAGCATATAATTCCTCCTGAAATATATGCAAGATGTTTACAAATTTCTAATTTTATAAATATTAATGCTATATTAATTGCAATGTCAAATTTATACATGTATAAGAAACGTATCAATGTAGACTCAATTTCCAGGAAAAAAACTTAAGGAAAAAAAAGGTTTCTACATGTATATATATACATGTATACAAAATGCCTCATCCTTTTCTCTTCACAGATTATGATATAATAAAGTACTGGAAAATTGTGCTATTAGTCACAATGTTTCTTTGCATTTATCAGCTAACTAAAACCATATCAGATACTGTAAATCACACTTTATTTGCAAGAACTTTATTTTCCTGTAATTATGTGAGACTGTCTGCTCACAAAAATTTCATTCTTGCATATAATTCCACTATTTCAAAAATTAATATATATAGAGCAATAACCAAAATCCGTGAAAATTTTGTTTCGCTTATAAACACCAAAACAACAATCTTGTGAATATAAGGTGTCATGAAAATTTAGTGATCTATAGTAGTTTTTTTGTTGGTTTTTTTTAGAAAACATAAACATTAGCTATGACACTTACCCTTATTTTACCTTTATCATCATTGGGATTAGAGATGTGATACAAAACACCATCAAAGTCTGAAATAACATTTTTTAAACAAAATTAATTCAAAAACTTTTTTTTTCTTTTTAAGGAATAATATTATTATCACAGACCATTGTTGAGAATTTACGGAAGCCGGTAGGTGCCAGGTAGAAAAATATTTTATCTGGCGGCCGCCAGAAAACTTTCTGGCGGCCGCCATATAATTATCTGGCGGCCGCCAGATAAACAACTGGCGGCCGCCAGAAACCTATCTGGCGGCCGCCAGAAACTTATCTGGCGGCCGCCAAATAATTTTCTGGCGGCCGCCAGATAAGTTATCTGGCGGCCGCCAGAAAGTTATTTGGCGACCGCCAGAAAGTTATTTGGCGGCCGCCAGAAATTATGTGGCGGCCGCCAGATATTTATTTGGCGGCCGCCACATAATTTCTGGCGGCCGCCAAATAACTTTCTGGCGGCCGCCAAATAAGTTATCTGGCGGCCGCCAGATCTTTTTATCTGGCGGCCGCCAGAAAATTATTTGGCGGCCGCCAGATAAGTTTCTGGCGGCCGCCAGTTATTTATGTGGCGGCCGCCAGAAAGTTATCTGGCGGCCACCAGATAAAATATTTTTTCTACCTGGCACCAACCGGCTTCCGTAAGAATTATATAATATCTGGTATTTTCTAATAAAACACCGAACTTGAGGACTCACCTGCAACTGTTATATCAACATTATCTGGTTTATTACTGTAAATAAAATTAAAAAAGAAAATAAGTGAGTAGCATAAAAGTATTCTTGTAGCCTTACAGAAAAAATTACAAAGATACGCATCTAACATTTTCCAAATCCTGAACTAGCCTCAAAGCATATAATAGCAATCAAGTGCCTTTAAAGTTTTCAACCAAGTGTGAATTCATATTCATTTCCAATCTAATTAAAATTAGATGTTCCGAATCCGCTATCGCTTCTCAAACATCTAACAACATCCCATTCGGGGTAAAGTCAGAGAGACTTTTCGATTATGAATAAACATAAAAATTTTTGCCAATCAGATTCAAGCTTCTGTATACAATTCTAAAATTAGTTGTATGGCTACATCATAACATTATTGATGCTCAGTAGACTGTCTTACGTTGAATTAAAGTAATTTTGGTATAAATTGAACTTATAGTCCGCCAAACTGACATTCTTACCTGAATAACGCAAAACGAAAATGCGCAAACTAGGCATATACGTCTATATATTCTGCACGTCACATTCATATATAGCACGGTCTTTACCATCCATATTTTGTTTACTACAAAACACCTCAGGCGTTTAGGTTTGGCAGTAAAAAAAGAAACGCATTCGAACTATAAGCCAAGATTTTGGAGACGTTGATTTCATTGGGTAATCAAAAGGTCGCTCTGACGTGACCCCGAATGCGATGTTGTTAAATGTTTGAGAAGCGGTAGCAGATTCGGAACATCTAATTTTAATTAGATTGTATTCATTTCATACAGTTTAACGCGTCATTTACCAGTAGACAATCGTTATGTTATCTTTATGAAAACATCGATATCCGAGTTTTGTTAGGCTAATCCTATTTAAGATGTTGGTAAATCAGCATTGTCTTTAAAATATTAATTCATCAGCTTTATCAAATGAAAATAATATATTGGACCCGGTGTGCAGAACACGGAAGTCTTTATTGCCTGGGCTAATTCTACATACCCCGCTACTGCATTCTGGAATTTTAATGTCAGCGTTTCTTCTACAATCCTGTTGTTGATTTCCAGTAAAATCATTTTCTAACTATCAGAAAATCACCCCAATAATTGTATATTGAAAACTTTTTTCCTTGGGGTGTTACCATCTAACTTCTCACAGGAAGTTGATTCACGGAAATAAAACGGAAACTCTGATTGGTCAATATTCTTTATTTAATCCGTTCGTACTTGCACTTATTCGTTTTTTTGGGAAGGGGGGATCTCTTTAAATTACGTAATATGACAGCTAAGCGTATTTATATCCTTTTTGAAAAATAAGGATATAAAAAAAAATCGATTACCATGAAAAGAATCGCTTCGACATTTCAGAGAGAGAGAGAGAGAGAGAGTCTTAAGAAGATTTATAAATATTTGAGATTTAAATGATATACTTGTAGAGGCGTTAAATCAAAACAAATAAAATAGATTATGTTTTATTTAATGCCACATTTTTTATTCAGTTCAGAATTCGAGTTTCACATTCTCATGGTGGTGAAACCTGTAAAAGGTGCTGATATGGTGGTGATACCTGGAGGGAAAAAAGCACTGACCAAACTTTGGATGACTGCACTTTAGGACATGCGAAAATTGCGACAAAATAAACTTTCAAAACAAGCATTTTTCTTTTAATTGCAGGAATATTCAACATGTATTCTACAACTTTACGTAATTACATTAAATAAAAGTATGTATATACGAAGTACATACATAATACATAAAAGTATGTATATATACGAAGTACGAAGCTGTTTTCAAAGGTGGGGGTCATCACAATATCTTGAATCTCCGTAAGATAATGAGGACGCCCACTTTTTCACTGACTTTGTACATAGTCAGCGCATGTTTGTCTATTTTTCTTCGTTTAACAGTAGTTGTATATATGCATTAATAATATTGTGTCAAAAGAAGATTAATAGACAAATATGCGCTCATGGTTTAAAGGAGAAAAAACTGTTTCTTCTTACATTCGCTCTCACTAATGTAACCAAGGAATACGGCATGTTGAATATTATAATTCACCACGTGATTTCTTATCTCGGTTAACTCTGTGAATACTTAATTTCGTCACGTGACTTGTAAGATAGCATGTTTTGTGCTAACTAGGACACTGTTCTCGAACACGTTGAATTGTCAAGCATCGATTCAAAATATTCTTTACTTACGTGTACGTGCTCATATTGTTAATTTCGTTTTGAAACCTGTGTAAATACTATAGCAGTGTACTTGTGCCATAAAGGATAAAGAGAGAGATGGGAAAGAGTGATCATGTATTTTAATACATGTCATGGTTATTTATCTAGTCTAATTTTAGAGACACAATGTTAGCTCCACCTCTCATGCATACCTAATGTTTAATCAAGGGCAGGTAAGTGTAAAATCTCTATATTTGGAAAGGAGTAGGGACAAAAAACATAGAATTATTCGATTGTATCACAGTCTAAAATCATTTTAACATTTAAATTTGTTGCCAAATTGATAGAATTCCATAGTAAATATACAAAAGTGAAATAAGGTTAAGATATAAAAGCAGCAGAAGCGACGGAAAAGACCCAAAACCGGGTGTTAAGTGCAGTTATCCAAAGTTTCTGGGTATGCTTAGCAGAAAGACAGCATACATATACCACATATATGATATTTTTGTTAATGTAAAATATTTTACATTTCAACAATTATTTGAAACTCGGTCAGAAAATATTGAAGAGGTACACAATCACATTTAGATATATGCATATTAAAATAATAGCAGCATACTATAATATAGTGTAAAAGATGCCTTGAATACAGAGGGTTCCAATGGACGATGCCTTGTCCAAGACACGATGTAGTTACGATATCGACAGATAACTTTTATATAATTTTCTATAATATTTTTCTAGTTTTGTGTGTGTATAAGAATACTTTATGTTTTAAGAAGTTTTCCTTGCTGTCAATATCCATGATATCGTACCGATATCGAATCATGATTGTTCAAAGGATTATGATTTCCACTGTTAATATTGTGTTTTTAAGTATGTGAGTTACTTGAAAACTATCAGCTATAATGCTTTCCCTGTAGTGTTGATATCGTCGATATCACGATGTCGCTTCGATATCGAATCATGTTTGCTCAACCATTGGTAAGTACCGTCCCTGTTACTGTGTATGTGTGTCTATATTTAAATACTTTACCTTAATTTACGAAATTGTACTTTCCATCGATAACCTCGATATCGTATCGAAATCTAATCATGATTGTCAAAAACATAATGTTTTACCAACTTTCACCCTACCACAAAACCTTTTAACCTAACCCTAGACAATTACTTCTCAAACTGTATTTATTAATGCAATATTTGTGCGTATTTACCAACTTTCACCCTAACCCAACACGTTACTCTAAACCTAACCCAAGACAATAACAACCCCTAACCCTTTGTATGTCATCCTAATTTATTTTCATATTCATGACAATACTGAGTCAATATCTACATCGCTTATGACCTTGTAAAATTATGTTATACCTCATTTTGAAAATGAATTATACAAAAAACATAGCACCAAGTCTCATGTATGGTATCAAGTGTTTCCTATTAATAATTACTGATCAGGATCGATATCGATACGATATCGGCATAATATTGTCGATATCGTCGATATCGACATCTTATTCGTTCGTGGACATGTATGACTGACTTGCACCAGAATTTGAAATATTTGACATTTCCACGATTGTCTAAAACTGAGTTTAAAAATTGGAGAGGTATACAAACCTTTTTTCCATGTCACTTTTAAGTGCATGGGGGGGGGGGGAGGGGTGGAGAGGCGAAAAAAACGTACATTACGAATAATTATGTACCTTACACAAAATTAATAGACCATAATGATGAAATGAGTTACTGACATTTTATATTCCAGTTTTCAGAATCATTTTACTGACTTGAACTAGTATTTGCACATCACTATTGGTCATAATCCAGGTTATCTTATTGTCACTGTCCAAGTTAAGAAAATTCTTACAGGATTTGTTTATTAATTAATATTAAACATTTCCTTCATCTTTAACATGATGACATGAGAGTAGAAAATGTTTCTCGTCGTCAATTTTATTATTGTTACATCTAGTACAGTTTCTTTCTTGTTGGGGAATGCTTATATTCCGTCCTCTTTATTTATTAACTCTTTACAACTTACTGAACTGTGACGCAACATACACTTAATGTTCACGTCACAGAAATATGACGTTACCTTTTCCTCGCAAGCACTTTATAGCGAAGGTACAAATTTCTCTAAAGTTTAGCTTAAATAATTATGACGTAATATTTTAATAAGATTATATCTTTTCTTATTTTATGAGATTTTAGCAAGTATAAGTGAGAAGGGAATTGGCATTAAATTGAAGATTACATTTACTTTTGAAAGTGCGTGAAAAATGCGTGATTGCGGGGAAACTGTATATGCGTGATTTTGCGTTAGAAATAGGAAATGTTATATGCGTTAAAATGCGTGACTGCGGGGAAGAGGGTTAAGTCTATGGACTGATATATGCGAAAAAGTGTAAAACTTTTCCTCTGCTCAAAGTTTGTCGGTAATTTAGGGTATTTTTCCTGACCAAAAATTTTGTTTAAAAGTGCTGTAGCAACTTAGCTTTTTGTCAGAATGAAATACAAGTTAAGAATTCTATTCTTTTAGCATTATTTAAGTAAATAATCTTTAAGTGCACATTTGAATTTATGCACTTTGATTATTTTATCATTAAAACTTTCTATAAAACATTTTTATAAAAAATAAGAATTTTCCTTTGGATCATCATTGAAGACGATTTTTATAGAATGTATTTGAAATCTGATTAATAACATTTCAGTCTCTATATTTAGTATAAATCTCTGAATTCATTATTTGCATTCAAAACATATTGGCAGAATCGAGGAAGAAAAACGCCCCTTCTCCGAATAAAACATGGTACGAGTTAACTCTTTCAACCGATAGATGGCGATGCCTCACAAAAGAAGGATTGTGATTGGACAATTTGACTTGTGGTTCAAATACTAGCGGGTGTTGAGTAGTCATGAAGTGGGGATAGTGTTAAGTGTAACGCCAGATTGTTTATATATTTTTTAAAAAAATTTTGAGAGAAAAGATGCCAAAGGTATTCCTTTGTTTTTTATCTATTGAAAAAAGAAGTGATTTTAAAATTGATCTTTGTATTTGAGTGATAAAATGAGAGACAAATGTGTCGTCTTTTTTGTTCACTAAATCTTGATCAACCATCATACCATGTTTTGTTTTTCCAAAAATAACATCTAATCGTGGCTTTTATATTATTCAGATGGAGGGAAAATTGTCACTTTTGGCGGCATACGATGATATTATGAGGAAGTCCAGAGTGCTGCAGGCAGGAGATGAAATAGGTGAACCACCCTTGTAAATATTGATAGGGTCGCTTTGTTTGACAGGTCTGGTACAATCACTAGATTTAGCTACGTAGCTTGAATTACCTACATAGCTTTATTTACCTACCAGAAGTAGCTTTATTTAGATACTAAATAGGTTAACATGAGCACAATGTAAAGTAATCATACTTATCCAGGTAACGGGACATTTTGCCCCGAGACCATTCGCCCCCAAAGACCTTTCGCGCCGAGATGTTTCGCACTATATTTAATCTGCATTGTCTATAACCATATATTACGGTGTTTTAAGATAAATATTTATATATAAGGTTAATATTGACTTTATTAAAAAATGTTCTAAAGTTAAGTAAAAAAACCTTTCATGTTTAAATTGTTGAAAATAGGCTTATACCGTAATTAAATGTATAATATCCATGTGCAGATATAATTATGTTTATTCAGCAATCATAATTGTCTGATAAAGTTTTGTAATTAAGGTGTTATAACTAGAATTTGGAGACTCTCCGTGTCAAGATAAAGAGGAGAATTTAATTATGAGACGGATGTCAAGTTCATTTTAGCGTTGCTCAATAGGATGCACACTAACTCCAATTTTCTTTGCTATTTTGAGTAATGCTATATAAGTATTTATCAAAAATATATGTCTCAAAAAAATCTTTTGATATGGCTCTAAATTCGCTTTTGAGTACATCTGGGAGGACAAATAAAGAATTCTGTAGACATGGTTTTTTTTTCCTTAGATTTCTTTATGTGTATTTGAAGTTCTGACTCTAAATAGGACAAAAAAATGTTTGAATAGATAATTAAGTCAAAAACAAATATTTTATCGATGTTTGAAATGTGTATCACATAACACATGGCAGACATATAACGTAACATTACAGACGTATAATAAAACGTGACATGATTAAATTACATTTCTGATGAATTGCAATACAAATAATCTGTAAAAAATAAAATTAAACAATTCCTTAAACAATGCAAATTTTTTTTCACTCTTACGTAGAAGAAAAAAGATTTTTAAGCTACTTTTGATGCACAAACTGATGATCGTAACACTGACAGACTCCTCTACATAGCCAGCCAAATCAACCATAAATTTTCATTATTTTATCAAAAAGATAATGTTGCCGTAAGAAATGGACATTATTAGGTAGGTAATTTTAGCTACGTAGCTAAATGTACTGATTGTATTGGACCTGTTTGAATAATTATATCATGATTATTTGTTTTACTCTCATAGATATAGAATATATAGAGGATATTCAATGTTTTGTAGATGAATATGGAATTTATTTCACGAGTGGGACAGGATTTTTTGATATTTTCACGAGTGCGAAGCACGAGTGAAAATATCAAAAAATCCTGTCTCACGAGTGAAATAAAATCCATATTCATCTACAAAACATTGAATTTTCTGTTTATTACATTTTCTTTGATTTTCCATTTGCCTCTGTCTTTTCTTAACACAGTGCCATAGGCTTGACGTCATAGTTGAGCGGTTGAGACGTCATAGCTTAGCATGCAGAAAACATTACATAGCATGGATTTTAGCAACATATTTGGGAAAAAATTTGCAGTTTTAGCTCTATCAAGATGCTTAGTTACTATCTCTATCTTATGACAGGCCAGAAATTATTTTTTACCTACTTTGATATCCTTTCACACTGTGAGAGAATATCATTTTGGTATCCTTTCACACTGTGAGAGAATATCACTTTTATTCAATAAATAAATCACAGTATTTCACTGTTGAAAATGTAATAAAATCCCTTTCCATTTATTTGGTAAAATGAAAGACAAATGTTTGTGATGTCTTTCTCAAAAATCATTATTTAGAAATTCAAATCAAAGGTTTTCATTCCATTTCATTGCTTAAATCATATATTATTTTTAGTTTGTTGATTTTAAGTAGTGAGAGTAAAGCAAGATAATTATATCAGATTCATATGTAGTTCATATGCAATAAATTTAAAATGACACATAATTTTGAAACAAATTGACTGAGTATTTTGTAATTATTATCAGAATTTCGAAGATTTGTTCAGAACCAGGAACAGTGCAGAATCAAATGGCAAAGTTCAGAAGTGGAGGTCCAACATCTTCATGAAAGAATTCGCCAGTTAGAGTCGGATAACAGTGGGCTAACTTTTAAACTCAAGCATGCTAGAGGAGTGATCGAGGAAGAATTAGAAAAACAAAGGATTTTAGAACAAGAAAGAGATGAACAGGTATTAAAGGGGATTGAAACTTGAAGTGTGCTTTTGATAACTAACAAAGGGTAGTACATTATATTAAAATTGGACATGAACAGAGACTAACCTAGACCAAAAATGTAAGGAGACATCACTTCTTCCTCAGGAAAATTTAGAGAAAAGTTTCAAATTCTAGGATCACTTCTTAATGCTTGTGTTATGAAGTGCACATATGTTATTAAACTTAGAATTATTAGATACATGCCATTGATGCCAATGTATATGTACCTTAAATACATGTACATGAATTTCTCTGTGTTAATTTAACATCCAATTCCGAAGAATTAAAAATCAAAGAGACAAAAAAGGTAGAAGTTCTTTATAGAGCTGAAACGAATACCAAAAATCAATATTTGAATATTCGGGACTACTATTCGATTTGTATTCGAATATTCGTCGATGTTATATGTAAAGTATATCTTTCTAAAATGTTATAATACCTATACCATTTGCAGACCAAAAAAAAATTGTATATTACGTATATAATAGGAGTGGGACGATCCACCGGTGCACCGATGCATCACAGTATTCACTTTGACGATCTACAGATCGATTCATCTAATTTAGTATCACGATACCTGACCGCACTTTGTTTTTAATTTCCAAAAATGTCCGGGCTTTAGAATTCGAAATTTTTAGTCCTTTAGTCTGTATCATCAAGACGTTTAAACAAACACAAATAAAGTACAAACGTCTTGCTGATACAGAATTCAAGATATAAGCGTCAAAATGGAGTCAGACACGCCGGATTATATTAAATTAACTAAAGATTTCTGATTAATTTTAATATAATTGACTGTAATTTGAGTCAAGAAACTTGAATTCACAGTTCATTTGTTGAATTAGTTTATTTTCATACACTGTTATGTTCCAAATTAAATGTTCTAAAAAAAATTTCTAGTTTTACTTGGTTTTAAATGTATCGTGATATGTATCGTATTGCACCTAAGGTATCATGATATGTATCGGATCGGCTAAGTTCAGTATCGTCCCAGCCCTAGTATATAATAAGAAAATTTATAACGATATAGTTACCTGACTTTAAACTGTCCATTGTTAAAGCTTTTTCTCAAAGAAAATGGAAAACAGATGATATTTTTTCAACAATGTTCAATGGTGCGGATCTTGCCCTATTTAGTATAGACCTTATTATATCATGCAAGATAGATTGGTGGGAAAATATGTAAACGTGCTAAAATAGGAAATTATCTTTACATGCTAAAATTTATTAAAAAAAATCTTTGCATGGAAAATACAGAAAAGTCACAGCTTGATAGTAAGAATGACATACATGTATGCTGTAGAAAAAGTCGGAAGTGTGAAAATCTATGTCACCGTGCGTTACTGGGGTATTCACATTACGCATTACTGAACATGCTTATATCATTTTAAGAGGTCAGTGTGTAAATAAACATGTTTCAAAGAAATTAAAGTCAGTAATTAGTTTTTAAGATTATTTCTTTTTAAAAGATTTAGTGACACCCGTGATAGAAAATGGCGGGGCCCTTCTGTCATTCTCTGATATCACCATAGAGATTTAAAAGAAAAATATTGGCCATATTTACCAGATGTTTTTGATAGATTTTCATGATTTAAAGAAAGAGAGGGTTGAAAATTTTAAGGCAACTTAAACTTTGCTTTTGTGATAAAGTTTGGAGCTCAAAAGCGACTTTTTTGCCTCAGCTGACCTCTAGGTTAGTTCTTGATGAAAAAAAAATGTATGTTTAAATACATTCATTATCTCCTCCTGATATTCTGTAATTGGTTTTGAAAATACATCTACGCCTTTCAGGAGCGACAGATTGGACTAATCCGAGAACTTCTAAATGACCGTAATGGGCGGCGAGACCTGAATGAGCAGGAGAGAGAGAAACTCTTCATGCTGAGTACCACTCATAGGTCACATCTCGAGGGCTCGCCTTCTAAAAGGTAAGGTATATTAGAACCAACATTTTGTAGGACTTCAGGGTTGTCCCTGGGAGTTGAAATAGCAGGGGGCATTAAAAAAGTAGAAGGGTGTGTGGGGTTCATCCCCTAACAGGGGGTTGAGGGGAAATACCGGGGGATTACTTCATTATACATGTAGGTGGGGAAATTCCCCGGGTCTTGGGGACAACTCTGAAATTTATCCTCGCAATGGATTTACTTCATTATGAAATAAAAGGCATGAAACAAACAAAAAGGGGTTTAGTTAGAGCTAGTGACAAAGGAACAGAAAAGCTCCTGCAACTTGAATAATAAAATGATATTAGCCCTGTCAGATTCAATTCTTGTATAAATATGAATATTTTTCTGCGAATTAAAACATCATTTTCATCCGACCAAACTTTCTATATACATAGATTAGTCACAAAATAATGTCCTCTTTTGTTTGGATTTTCTTTATGTATAGGAAATCGGAAAGTTCTCACTGGGAAAGAAAACGGTAAACTTTGTCTGCCTTGCATGTCTGTCAAGTTTTGAAATTGTAAAACACATTTTCAGTCTGCTTGTAGATGTACTCTTACTTTCAGCACTGAAATGCTTTGAAGTGCATCAGATCTTTGACATGGTGCTTTTTTTTTTCCTTAAAAAGAAAATTATTGTGTAGATTTACAATATTTCTTAGTGTATTAAACCCTTGCAGAATTTCTTTTTAATGTTTAATTGAATGCTTGTATGGCATTTGTACTGCCTTAAAGAGCACGAAGAACTTTATTTTTTTACAATCAGATATAGAAAGCTAATCAGTATATGTGATTTGAATCATGCATACACAAGTGCAGTTATATCTACATGATCTACATTAAATATATTTTATATATAGATGCATGGATTTTTAATAAAACTTTGCCCCACTTCAAAACATCCTAGTCCCAGTTTCCAAAATATAAAATTCATGGATAATGTGAAGTGGCACTGCATGTATTATCTACCTTGCAGCTTGCTGCTCTTTTCTAAGACTTAAATAGTTACCGGTAATATAAGATTGAAGAATATAATTGGAGTTTTAAATTAATACAATTAGAAGTGTTTCATTAGCTTTGAAGAGAGAGGGATACGATGTATGAATTTAAGAGGTACGTGCCAAAGATGGCCAGGATTCTTGAAGCATGTACTTTATTTGAACATTGTTAAAATTATAGCTGTTAAAATTGATTATGAAATGTGTGCTTGTAATATTTACTCTTGCAGATTTATCATTACTAATAAACTCTTTATATTGATAATTTTGCAAACCTATTTTCTTAAATAGATTGCGTACCATCAATGAGTCTGCTCATTCAATGTTGTCAGATGACGAGTACGACAAAACTGAAGATGACCTACATACCAGTCGTCTACGAAGTGGTCGCACTTTTAAGCGACCCTCAGCTCCACCACTGGAAGAGGAATTCCCCAAGAAAAGGAAAAGTGGGGATGAGGTATCCATACATAACGTGTTCAAATTATAATGTATTGGTGTTCAGGCATCGGATAAAAGTGGGTGATCTAAGCCCTCAAAAAAAAAGAAAAAAAAAGGAGACATATTAGGCTTCGAATTAAACAAAAATGCTAATGCTAACCAGATTTCTCTCTGAAAATAGGCTTTCTCTGTTCATTGCAGAAAGACAGTTCTATTATCACCACGACGACAGTGACAATTGGAGCAGACGGAGCACCTGTTGCTGCGGAAACAGAGGTCAAGACAGTGAAAACTCTTAACAAGAGCTTCAGTGAGCCGGCCCTTGACAAACACATGGCTGCCCCTGACAGAGATGCAGGTTGGTGACAATGAATTTTACAGGCAGATGTTTATTTATGATGATTTGTGACTATTATCAGTTAAGTTAGTCATGCTAGTCAAGTCCAATATAACAAAAACAGAACTAAGATGTGTTTAGAAAAAAAATGGTCATTTTGGTAATGTTGAATGGTGATCTTATAGACAGTGAACCGGAATCGGAGGATTCTTACTACGGCACACCCAGGAATAACAACAACAGGAGGAAATCCAGGGGAATTCTCAAAACCACACCATCTGAGTATGTATAACAAGGGGAAAAATGCCCTAGTTCTAGTACTGTATAGTTAATGATTAAAATTGTCAAAAAATCATTGACAATCGTTTGTACTATATCTTTATATGTATACATATTGCATACATATAAAACAACATACTGTAACATAAACTAGTCATCACAACATGATAATGGGCCAATGAGATGGTAAATATCTTTGCTAAAATACTTTTTAAAAAAAAATTGAAAACAACCTGCTTTTTACAGAACACCACAATTGCGTAAGGCCAATTCTGCCAGTAAAGGATTGAACCGAGTCCACGTATTCATGTCCAAGACGGTTATCAAACCAGAAACCTGTGTTCCTGTAAGTTGTTTAATTTGTCCTCTTATTTCTCCGTCCATTAATAATCTGAATTTTTTGGAAATGGGGATTTGACATGTCATTTCCTCAAAAGACATTTTCATAAGTATGTTCTGAATGGTAAAACCCATAGGGTTTGGAATGGATCAAAGGACATTACTGTAAAAATATATTTAAGCTGTATGATATTTGGTGGGAAATGTACGATATTTGATGGGATTTGAAATGTAAAAAAATAAAAGTGTAGATTTGATTTGGTACATTTCTTGATGTTCTAATTTATTTGTAAATATATTTGTATATGTGCAAGACATTTAGCGTTGTACTTGAATTAACAGAAGTTGCTTTCCGCCAAAGACACTTAAAAGAATACATAGCCAAATGTAATAAATTCACAGTATCTTTGAGACAGTATTTTCTAGATGCAAAATCAAGAAGATAAGATATTAATTATGGGGTAATTCATTGGAAATATTGGCATTGGATTCATGTAATGATTTGTTCATTTATTTTTCAGTGTGGAAAGAGAATCAGATTTGGTAAACTAGCAATGAAATGTAAAGGTAAGGGCTGAATAAGAAGAAAGGGTTTCATCTGATCTAGTCCATTCAATTAAGAATGTATTTAATAGCTACCCTATTTATATGGTATAAACTGGGTTGGGGCACAATATGCTTTATAAGCCACAAAGTGAGTGATTTCCTTGATAAGATAACTAATTTACTTCAAAGAAATAGAAATGATAGGAAGGTGTAAAAGGTAAAAAAAACGGATAAAGGACGAGATCAAAAGATTAATTACTGACAAAAAAAATTAAATAAGTCAGGGAGAAGGGGGGTGGGGGGATAAAGAGTCAAAAAAAGTTTCCAAGCAGTGTCTGTAATCAGGTTGCAGTAGAATACTTGGGGTTCATGTTTACAATATTGTGAAGTATATTGTGCATCTCTATCATCATTAAGTTTACTAAGACATGAATTCAGCAGTTGTATACACTATGCTGCCTCTTTTGCACTGTAGACTGCCGTTCCACCTGTCATCCAGACTGTAAGGATAATCTCCCCTTGCCCTGTATACCCTTAGCACCTGGTACACCTGGTGGCCACAAACTTATCGGGGTGAGTTCCTCCTCTGTATGGACCCTAAAGTTCCAAAATTATTTACTCCATGCAGAACATAGAGTTTGTTATTGATAATTAGGGCTATTCCAGGAAAAATTGTATGGGAGGGTTGGAAGGCACTTTTATTTTTACCCCACCACCCATACATTTTTAATTACCTTCTATCCCACCCCCCATCAATTTAAAATTGCTTTTGATACAACCACCCATCTAAATTTAAAAAAAAAATTGTGTCACATATATATATACAATAAAATTTTATGTACTTTTTTCAGGTATTGTAATTTATCTGACTTCGAATGAGTGTTGGGTTTTGACATCTATCCAACCATGGCCCGTTTTACAAAAGAACTTATGACTAAGATCAAAATGTTATTATGCAAGTAAATTTCTTTTTTGCATTACTTTAAAAATGTTTTAAATTTTTTTTTTTTTTTTTTTAAAAATAAGATAGTTTTATGCCAACAATTTTTTTTTTACAGAAACATATGTTTTGTAAGATTTTATGAACAACTAAAGTTTTTAGTCTTAGTAATAAGTTTTTTTGTAAAACAGTTCCCTGTGTTCCTGCTACAGCTTAGAAAAATTTAATATGTTCCTTTAGGCCTATGATACACACCACTGAAAGCCTTTATTATAGTGATTTTGTATATCTGTTCTGATGCATGACTTTGTAGTCTGTAAAGCTAAGTTAATAGGTAAAGCTTTTACAAGTATGTATACACAATGACATTCCTACAATTAATTAAAATTAATATTGTAAATTATAGCCTAGCTATCCTTAACAATTGTTGTTCACCTTGTTCATAACAAAATGATTCCTGCTTTTTTGGGGGGTGGGGGAGTAAACTTCTGTAGGCAGTGTCTGTGAAGTGAAAACTTTGATTAAAAAAATATATTTAATGAATTCTAAATTCCATCTAACAACTTAGACCATTGGTGCATACAAGTTCACAAGTTGACACTTAACAGGTAAAGGACTAGCATGTTTTTGACATAATATATTTCATATTGTTTTCAAACTCATATCTCATCTTCCTTTTACTCTGTATGTGGTATAAAGTAAAATATTTGACTTGCAAACTCCGTAGTCATGCTCTAAAACGTTCATTATCAGATACGTTTTTTTTCTACTTTCGGTTTAAAATAAAACGATCTTTCTGATTGTTTCTAATATCATTTAATTTACCAATGTAATCATGTTTGATTAAACTGGCGAAAAGAAACTGGGCCAGGGAGTCCAAAGCACAACTAATCCGTTTTCCAATCCCCCACTCTCATTGCAGTCACAGTTGCACATGCTTTTATGGTTATCTGCCCTTGTTTCCGTTTTGTTCGATTCTGCTTTCACTTTCAATGTAAACACACTTCACAACTGTTTAGGACGAAAATATCAGTATTTACCGATTTATACAAAATGAGAGGGAAGAAGTACTTTGCACTTGATTATTTGTGAGGGTAAATACAACCACCCATCTAAAAATATATCGAATGAGGACAACCACCCATACAAATTTAATTGCTCCAGACCCACTACCCATACAAAAATATATGAAGTGCCGTCCAACCCTCCCGTACATTTTTTCCTGGAATAGCCCTTATTATCCTCAGAGTAGCATCAGACACTTTGTCAGAGAAGGGTCTGTTAGGCCTTAAATCTCTTGTAAAGAAAGACAAGAGGGTTTTTCTATTAGAGATAATGATTTCAGGACTGAAGAATGTTTATTGTAAACCAACTTTTATTCACATCATCTTTTATTCGCAATTCGTCAGTTTGAAATCAATTCGCGACGATTAATTTTCACGACTAAGGAAACATCCTCTATAAATACAAAGCAAAATAAATGGTTCGCGGCGATTAATATATTCATGAGTTAAAGTAGGTCGCGAAACTCACAGAAATTTCTTCCACAGGAATAAAAAGTTGATTTACAGTATTGAAATTTAAACATGTTTTAATTCAGTTATTTTTTATGTATTGTCAGGGAATCATAAGTGATTATGCTCCTCTAGAGAAACCCATGATCCCTGCTATTGTGGTAAGTACTAAAGATTAACGTTACTTATCTCTGAAATTTTATGAAATTTTAAGCAGAATGTAATGTAAATTGTAAGTTTGTGTAATGTTCACATTGTAGGTACATTGTGTGAATGAAGTAGAAACTAGAGGACTCAATGAAGTGGGAATCTACCGAGTCCCTGGGTACGTATCGCTAAGGTTTGAGGGGGTGGGAAGAAATTATCATGAAGTTGTTATAAAAATGTCTATCTGAAATGTTTTTCTTTAGAGAGTCATGTGACTAACAAATGAAATGAGTAAAAATTTATCTGAAATGAAGATACATGAAACACTTTTTACTTAAAGATCTGACTCCCAAGTCAAAGACCTGAAGAAGGAATTCATGAAGGGAAAAGGTGTGCCAAATTTGGTAAGTGAATAAACCCAAATGAAGAATTTGTGATTTTTTTTCCTGATATAACACATGTAAGAGATTAATAAAGAATTCCTTGTGATATTTCAGTCCCACATTGATGATATCCATGTGGTGTGTGGCTGTCTGAAAGATTTCTTAAGAGGAATGAAGGAACCTTTGGTTACATTTGGACTCTGGAAGGATTTTGTCAGTGCTGCTGGTAAATAAAAGATAAAGATCTGGTAGTTTTGAGAGAATTGGAGATGTATGTACAATTAGAAATGTAAAAATCTGATCTTTTTATCTGGGCCTTACAGAGAACAGGGACCAAGCCCTGGGTCTGTCGGAGGTGTATCAAGCCATAAGTCAGCTCCCTCAAGCCAACAAAGACACCCTGGCCTTCCTCATTCTTCATCTGCTGAGGTACAGGGACTCTCAAGTCCTTAGCTTTTTTATATACCAGGAAAACTTATCATAAGGATTGCACATGTCCTGGGGTCATTGAGGTCAATTTCTGTTGTGTTTCAGAGTTGGAGATAGCCACGACTGTAAGATGCCTCACAGTAACTTAGCTAAGGTGTTTGGACCCACGATTGTAGGGTACTCTGTTCAGGACCCAGAACCATTACAGATGATCAACGAGACCAAGTACCAGGCCATGGTAGCTAATCCTTTCACAATACTACTCTCCTTGCTTCTTGTGTATCTCATAGCAAAGAATTTGTTTTGAAAATGAACTCTGTCGAAAATATGAGATATTATTATATAGTCTAGAAATAGTCCCTATATAATCTATACAAACGCAAACAGTTCATAATACTACATATTCACTGGATTTGAAGCTGAATTCACCGGAGGGTCAGTGCGCGTGCAGCGGCATTGTGACGTCACAATCAATACCTAAAACAACGCGTTGAAAACAATGGTTGCAACGGCTGGAGCCAGCTGCATATGCTGTATATCTGAGCAGGAAAAGTTTTAGGCAAATTTCTCGTAGGATTATTTTCAAAACATTTCTATGTCTTGCACCCAGCGGAAGGAAAACACGAAAGTTATAAGTTAAAATCTGGAATTTTTTAAAAATTGTTCTACGACAGAAGTTCGTTAACGAAAATGGAGTCATCTTGCAGCCTTCGATGTCTTATTCATTCAAATCCTGACTATATAATAAAATAATTATGGACTCTTTTGGTGGTGAATATGGTTTGTTATTCACCAGAAAAATATCAATATTGACCGAGGCTTCGCCTCGGTCAATATTGATATTTTTCTGGTGAATAACCTCGGTCAATATTGATATTTTTCCGGTGAATAACAAACCATATTCACCACCGAAAGAGTCCATAATTGTATAATATTAAATATATTTTTTGTAATTACTGAAAAAATGAATATTGTTTGCTTTAATGGGATAAATTTTTACCTCAGCATCAATGAATTCTAAAGATAAACATGTTATTAGAGTAGGTAAAATTATTCTTGCTCATCATGTGTAATCATGCTTGACATTAATTTTTGTATGTGTGATGTCTGTTTTCAGGTGATGGAGAAGTTGTTCCAGATTCCTGTGGATTACTGGGAGTCGTATTTGAATGTGGACGATGAGAACATTTATCCTAATCAGTACAACACACCACAGACACCAGAGGGAACGAGTGAGTTACTGTAATACATCATTTTAACCCCCTAGTGAACCTCTGACAAAAATTACCCCCTAGTGAACCTCTGACAAAAATTACAGATGTTAGAACTTAAACTATTCAGTCAGGTGACTTGATAAGAAAATTTTCAGCATTTGACAGATTAAAAAAAGTCATGAAAATGTAAATTTTTTTTGGTACTTTGTAATGCAGTGCCCCACAGTCGATTGGGCCCACTTCATACACCAGGGTCACATGACTTCAGGAGCAAGACCTGGGGAAAGAATTCCTTCACACCAAAGTAAGTACTCTGAGGAAAACAAACTGGATATTTATGACTATATGTATAAATGTTCAGGTCTTAAATTTTTGGATTGTAAACTGTCCTTAGAAAGAAAAAGCAGTAAAAATTTCTGACTGATACATGCATTTTGAATGAAAACATTTTTATAAAATTCAGTTGTTTTTGAAATGAACTTATTGTTTTTAGCTCACCTGAGCCGAAGGCTCAAGTGAGCTTTTCTGATCACATTTTGTCTGTAGTCCGTCTGTCTGTCTGTCTGTCCGTCCGTCCGTCTGTAAACTTTTCACATTTTCGACTTCTTCTCAAGAACCACTGGGCAAATTTCAACCAAACTTGCCACAAAGTATCCTTGGGTGAAGGGGATTCAAGTTTGTTCAAATGAAGGGCCACGCCCTCTTTCAAGGGGAGATAATGAAGAATTAGTGAAAAATTAGTAGCATCTTTTAAAAATCTTCTTCTCAAGAACCACAAAGCCAGGGAAGATGAAACTCATGTGGAAGCATCCTCAGGTAGTGTAGATTCAAGTTTGTTCAAATCATGACCCGTGGGGGTAGGGCGGGGCCACAGTAGAGGATCAAAGTTTTACATAGAAATATATAGGAAAAATCTTTAAAAATCTTCTTCTCAAGAACAGCAAAGCCATGATGAGTCATATTTATATGGAAGCATCCTCAGGTAGTGTAGATTCAAGTTTGTTCAAATCATGACCCCCGGGAGTAGGGCGGGGCCACAATGGAGGATCAAAGTTTTACATAGAAATATATAGGAAAAACCTTTAAAAATCTTCTTCTCAAGAACAGCAAAGCCATGATGAGTCATATTTATATGGAAGCATCCTCAGGTAGTGTAGATTCAAATTTGTTCAAATCATGACCCCCGGGGGTAGGGCGGGGCCACAATGGAGGATCAAAGTTTTAGATAGAAATATATAGGAAAAACCTTTAAAAATCTTCTTCTCAATAACAGCAAAGCCCTGATTGATCATATTTATGTGGAAGCATCCTCAGGTAGTGTAGATTCAAGTTTGTTCAAATCATAACCCGGGGGGGTAGGGTGGGGCCACAATGGAGGATAAAAGTCTGAAATAGAAATATATAGGAAAATATGTTCTGATGAAGAACTGCAAAGCCATGATTAGTCATCTTGATATGGAAGCATCCTCAGGTAGTGTAGATTCAAGTTTGTTAAAATGATGACCCCAGGGGATAGGGATTGGCCATAATGGGGGATCGAAAATTTTACATAGGAACATATAGGAAAATATCTTCTTCTCAAGAACTGAAAATCATGTTTAGTCATTTTGATATGGAGGCATCCTCAGGTAGTATAAATTCAATTTTGTTCAAATGATGACCCCCGAGGGTAGGGTGGGGCCCGATAAGGGGATCGAAAGTTTTACATAGGAACATATAGAAAAAAATTTCTTCTTTAGTCATATTGATATGGAAGCATCCTCAGGTAGTGTAGATTCAAGTTTGTTCAAATGATGACCCCTGGGATAGGGAGGAGCCACAATGGGGGATCACATTTTTACAGAGGAATATATGGGAATTTTTTAAAAAATCTTCTCAAGTACAACGAAGCCATTTGTTAAAACAAATTAAACAAATTATATATTGACATGGAAGCATCATCAGGTAGTTTAAAATTCAAGCCCCCCCCCCCCCTCCCCCCCCGTAATCTTTTCAGTACTGAACTGATTTGTGCTTTTGCCTTGCCAATGTGCTCAGGTGAGCGATGTGGCCCATGGGCCTCTTGTTTAAAAATGTCTTGCAATGGCTAAAGCTGAATGCTTTGGTGTATATATCAGAATAGTAATATAAACAATTAACAAAGCTACAGTACTTGTACATGTATTCAGAAAAGTATGACAAACTCCTATTTATTACTAGATGGTCTAGACTAATGTTTAGTTTTCAAACATCATACACTGTATACATCACTATATCATACACCTCATCATTAAATAGAGCTTGTGCAATTACTTCATTATCTGTTGGATTTTTTTGTTCCTGGTTTAACAGTGTTTCATATTATTCAAAGTCTAGCCAGGGTTTTATTCTGAATATGTTGATGTGTTGGCAATTCTGTTCTCTCTTACTCCATAAAGTAGATTGCTTCTTGAAGTTTGTAAGACTTCATTTTTCATACAGAAGTGATGATTAAAATGACATCAATATGTGATGGGTCTTGTATGTTTTTTTTTTAATATTTGACAAAGGTATGCTCTTTGGACAGAATTCAGTTGGTTAAGGTACATTTGCAACTCTCTTTTAGCTGTTAGAAGAAGGTATGTCTGTTCTGTGTGCCAAAGAAACTTAGTTGAAAATACCAGCATGTTGGGTGAAAAGCACAAGGAGACATTAATTTAAACTTTGATTTTCCATCAGATTCCTGATAGTTTACTCATCAAAGGACCCTTTATCAGTGGAGTTTTCTTCTTTAAAACTTTTATTCTGTGAACGCCCATTGTCCGCTGCAGTCTATTTCCTATTTTAAACATTTCATTAGTTCTTTTCCAACCTTGTATGGAATACGTTGAATTCTTTTTGGTGGTATATTAAAGATGATTTGTATGGCCGCATCTATGTAATCATCATACCAGCCCATTACATGTATTAAATTTGTGACTTTATGTCTGATAATTATGTATAAAGATTTCAAAATTACCATGCTTGCTCATTGCATTTACATGTACGCACAAAGGAATTTCATAATTTTCATCATGTCATGCCTGCAAATCTTGAAAAAAAATGTGTCTGTACTAAAAAATCCTATAGTTCCATCCATATATATAACTATATGTTTCTTATGCAGTCAAACTTCATTATCTCAAATGCATAGGGGATGAGAAAAACTTAACTAAAGGTTAAAATACACAAAGGAAGAAGTGGTTGGAACCTCCAATTCACTTTGACATACCAATTTGAGACATTCGAGATACTGAGGTTCAACTTTTGTAACTTTATATTTGATTCTCATATCTAGCTAGCATGGCTTGGGAAATATATATATTCAGTGAGTAGAAATAAGAAATATTGCATATCCTTGCTTGGCAGCTCTATATTTGCTGTCATATATAACACTGTATATACATGTACTCTATATGTCTATTATTCTAGAATCTTGGTAGAAGGAACATATTAGCGTACATTTTTGTGTTTTCTGTATCTTTGGTGTTTTGTCTGGCAGCTTCTTATTGTTTGTGATTCGTATCGTGTGTTTTGTGTCTGGCCAGAACTATGGGCCATTGACCTCTGGTATCTTTGTAGTAAGGGCAAGAAAGGTCGCCTCCTTCCTCCTCTTGTTCCAATGCCACGTTCTGTCAGTGAGTCCAAGATATAAACTTCAAGGTATTGAGATGTCACAGGGTAAATAAATGGTACATTTTTGTAAAGGAATGAGTAACTTTGTACACACACACACACTCACCCTCACATACGCACGCACCATCACATGAGGAAAGAGCTTGATGATAGATTAAATGCAATGAATAAATATGGAGGTAGTTTGTAGTCTTGGGAATTAAGTGCCCAAACAAATCTACAAAGTAAAAAGTAATAAATATTGAATGTCTGAGAAATATGTGTGTGAGGTAAGTTTTGGAATTATGCATAAAAACCTAAATTGTATTTTTTTTTCTATTTACATGAATTAATGTTGCACTTTTCACAATGTCACTGGCTATTGGTCATAAGCATTTGTTATAAATAAAAAGTTTTTAAAAAATTTCTCTCTCTAGGTTCTCCAACAAAAGCAATCAAGTCAGTAAAAAGCCAAGTCATTTCTTTTCCTCTCCAAAACTCAACTGAGCATGACTTAGAGTGCAGTGAATTTGCAGCCACTTTAACATGTTATGGAACGTCACTGGTCAAATTTTAGAATTGTAAAAGAATTTTCTACAGCAGCGGAGTGAATCATGAATTTTCTTGTAAATTAAACATTTTGTTGGTAGAAAGCACCATTTGTAGAAAACCATATCAGGTAGTCTTTGCAACCAGCATCTTTGGGTTTCATAACCAGCTGTACAAACTTGTAAAATTAATTAGATGAAGTATCACATTGTAGTGTATTTAGGTGTTTAAAGTGTAAATAATTGTACAGAAGGAACTTAGATGCCACCATATGTGTTCATGAAAGTCAGAATGACATCTACAAAGTGTGTGATTGCCCTCAGGGACACTGGAAGTGTAAATACTGTATATGTAGTGTCAGGGCCTGTACTGAAAGTTTGTTTGTTTCCGCCCTATGCAACACACCCTTTTCACATTGGACTATTAAGCAAGTATGTAAAAATTCTTTCTTGTATGTTTGGTTTTTTTTGGTACCAATATGTAAAAATAAATATACCTGATATATGATCATTTATAGTTTTCCCTTGAAAATTTAATGTTAAAGAGCACTGAATGTTTTTTTCATGGGAAAATCTGGAAACAGAAATTTTTTTTTTATTTATCAATCTGGTATATGTGTTGATAATATAAATAACATTCACAGACAACATGATTCTAAAACTAATGGCAGTTAATAAATTTTTACTCCTAATGACTTTATAAGAAACTCATTTTTGATACTAAATTAAAAAAAAAAACATAAAACAAGGCATTGTATACATTTTTTTTCTTGATTGTTATATAATAAACATAAATATACAAAGTGGAAATATGTGTTTTCTTTTCCTTTTTACCTATTTTAATGAATTTTAGAGCTTATTTTAGATAAAAGTATATCTTCAATTCTGATTTATATACAGTATGAAATATCCTGCATATGTATTGCAATGAGAAAATAAATATATTACTGATTATTACATTTTATCGTCATAGATAGGTAGCCTAAAAATTCACTATACATTTTATACTGATTTTATGGTTAGGAGTGACAACTAGATATTGTTTTGAAAGATATACTACTGGCATGTATATTGGTAAGTTTAACAAACTTTCAATTCTCTCTTTCTTCTTTCCTTCATATCTGTTGTAAACTACAAATTGTGAAGATGAAAAAAATTTGCTATTTTGTGCTTTGATGGTTAAAAAAAAAAAAATTAAACATGTATTTTGTCTTTATGCATTTTTTTTAAAAAAAGAAGATTTTAGCTCTTGTGAAATCTGTTAAATAAATATAACCTGGAAGACACAAAGGAGTTGTCTTGTTAATTGAGGTTTCACTCTGAAAAGTCCCAGGTCAGTTTATCAAGGAAATTTTAAAATTGTAATCCATGGCTTACATAGAGAGAAAAGGTGATATGGCCTCAAAATCTATTGGTTCTTCCTCTTTTGAAACTTGATTTATTGCATCACAAAAGAGTGTGACTGTCATGGATATAGATACAGTGATATGACCCCCAAATCTACAGTTTTCTTGTTCTTATAGTGAAGTATTTGAAAGTATGTTGAAAACTGTATGGATTATAGCATTACAGAAAAAAATTGTCATGGATATACATTCAGGCACATACAAAGTGATAGGACCCTAAATTCTATGTCCTACCAAATTTGACAGTACTGTATTACTTTGAAAACTTTTTAAAATTATCGGGTCGCAACAAAAGTATTAATCACAGACCAATATTGTGATTAATATAGGGCTCCCACATTTTGTGTGGGGTTCTACTAAGATGTTAGAGAAAATGATCTGAAAAAGATGGAGAACTCTTTAAAACAAGAGGCCCATGGGCCACATCGCTCACCTGAGCACACTGGCTAGATTAAGGCACAAATCAGTTCAGTAATGAACGTGGGGGGGGGGGGGGGCTTGAATTTTAAACTACCTGATGATGCTTTCATGTCAATATAACAAATGAATTTGTTGTACTTGAGAAGATTTTAAAAGAATTTTCCCATTTATTCCTTTGTAAAAATTTGATCCCCCATTGTAGCTCCTCCCTATCTCAGGGGTCATCATTTGAACAAACTTGAATCTACATTATCAATCCCCCATTGGGCCTCACCCTACCCCCGGCAGCCATGATTTGAACAAAATTGAATCTACACTTCCTGAGGATGCTTCCATATAAATATGACTCTTCATGGCTTTACTGTTCTTGAGAAGAAGATTTTTAAAGATTTTTCCTGTATATTTCTATGCAAAATTTGGATCCTCCATTGTGGCCCCGCCCTACCCCCGTGGGTCATGATTTGAACAAACTTGAATCTACACTACCTGAGGATGCTTCCGTATAAATATGACTCTTCATGGCTGTACTGTTCTTGAGAAGAAGATTTTTAAAGATTTTTCCTATATATTTCTATGTAAAATTTTGTTCCTCCATTGTGGCCCCGCCCTACCCCCGGGGGTCATGATTTGAACAAATTTGAATCTACACTACCTGAGGATACTTCCATATAAATATGACTCTTCATGGCTTTACTGTTCTTGAGAAGAAGATTTTTAAAGATTTTTCCTATATATTTCTATGTAAAATTTTGATCCTCCATTGTGGCCCCGCCCTACCCCCAGGGGTCATGATTTGAACAAAATTGAATCTACACTTCCTGAGGATGCTTCCATATAAATATGGCTCTTCATGGCTTTACTGTTCTTGAAAAGAAGATTTTTAAAGATTTTTCCTATATATTTCTATGTAAAACTTTGATCCTCCATTGTGGCCCCGCCCTACCCCCGGGGGTCATGATTTGAACAAATTTGAATCTACACTACCTGAGGATACTTCCATATAAATATGACTCTTCATGGCTTTACTGTTCTTGAGAAGAAGATTTTTAAAGATTTTTCCTATATATTTCTATGTAAAACTTTGATCCTCCATTGTGGCCCCGCCCTACCCCCGGGGGTCATGATTTGAACAAATTTGAATCTACACTACCTGAGGATACTTCCATATAAATATGACTCTTCATGGCTTTACTGTTCTTGAGAAGAAGATTTTTAAAGATTTTTCCTATATATTTCTATGTAAAACTTTGATCCTCCATTGTGGCCCCGCCCTACCCCCGGGGGTCATGATTTGAACAAAGTTGAATCTACACTACCTGGGGATGCTTCCATATAAATATGACTTCATGGCTTTACTGTTCATAAGAAGAAGATTTTTAAAGATTTTTCCTATATATTTCTATGTAAAACTTTGATCCTCCATTGTGGCCCCGCCCTACCCCCGGGGGTCATGATTTGAACAAAGTTGAATCTACACTACCTGGGGATGCTTCCATATGAGTTTCATCTTTCCTGGCCCTGTGGTTCTTGAGAAAAAGATTTTTTAAAGATGCTATTCATTTTTCACTAATTCTTAATTATCTCCCCTTGAAAGAGGGCGTGGCCCTTCATTTGAACAAACTTGAATCCCCTTCACCCAAGGATGCTTTGTGGCAAGTTTGGTTGAAATTGGCCCAGTGGTTCTGGAGAAGAAGTCGAAAATATGAAAAGTTTACAGACAGACGGACTACAGACAAAATGTGATCAGAAAAGCTCACTTGAGCTTTCAGCTCAGGTGAGCTAAAAAAGAGAAGAAAATAAAAATTTCTGATAACTTTTATTTATACATAAATAAAAACAAGCAATAATAAGAAACTAAAAATACCAACAACTGTATACATAACAAAAGTCACTGATTAAAAGTTACACTAAGCATACTCTGGTGCCCCTGCCGCAACCATCTGACGTGACAACCACTCGATGCCATCTTGGAGCCCAAAGCCACTCTTTGCGTCACATGCTTGGATGTGCCAACTACGATTACAGCACAACTTAAAAAGACCAAAGTTCCCTGTGATTGACTCTATGCTCACACACGTTTCCACATCCTGCAATGTAAAAACAGATTTCGGTAAGTGTTGGCTGATGGTAAATGAACCTGTCGAAATACATACTGTGATTTCATCATTTTTCATTGATTACTGATTTTGGTTGTGTTCAAGGTTGAGTCAGGCCACAAAATTAGACTTCATGTAATCATGAACTACCATTACAAATTTTACAACTAAAAGAATAGAGCAATGAAGTTCTTTATGATTTTACATATCAACGAAATACTGTAAAATCCCATATTTTTGTGGGATCAAATTTTTGTGGTTCGAGGAAAAAATATTGGTTCATGGGGATTTTATTTCGTGGATGAAGAATTGTTGAATCGTATTACCTGTGAAAAATAACATTTTGTGATGGACATAAATTCATGGGACTCATCATACCTCAAAAAACCAGAAGTCTCTGATGAGACTGTAGCTCTACTGGTCTGTACATATAACAAAGGAAAAGTAGCACTTGGTTTTGAAACTTTGCAACATGCAACAATAAATAGAATATATATTTTAATGTAGTCTACTTCTGTGCCAAGTTATATTGAAATAAAACGAAAACTGTTGGAGGAGTAGTGTTTTGAAAGTATTTCAAAGAAATTTCTATTTTTAGTAACCATGACAACACCAATCACTGAAATCAAAAACCGATATACATAATATGTATCATAGTGTGTGCCAAATTAGATTGAGATCAGACCAAAACTGTAGGAGAAGTAGCATTTTAAAGGAAATTTACAGAAATTTCTATTTTTAGTTACCAGGGCAACACCCTTCATCGAAATCAAAAACCAATGCACTAAAATATGTATCTTAGTGTAGTCTACTTGTGTGCCAAGTTATATTGAAATCAGACCAAAACTGGAGGAGGAGTCGCATTTTGAAAAATTGTTTACAGACGGACGGACACCTTACTATCGCATAAGCTCTTCTGGTCTCTGACCAGTAGAGCTAACGAAAATAAACCCCCCCCCCCCCCCCCCCCCCCAAATTAGTGATTTCACAATATTTTTTTTTTGGCCAAGCCATGAAATTTGATCACCACTAGAATTAATGAAACCACAGACAAAGTACCCCCCTAACTTTGAATTGAATGTGGACACATAGAAATACATCAGAAAAGATTAAAAGCAAATAACACAAAACTAAAGTTACTGACCTGTTTATTGGCAAAAATGAGTAATGAGGCTTCTTTGAGCTCCTTTTCTTGGACAAGTTTAGCGAGCTCATTGAAAGACTCAGCAAGACGTTCTCTGTTACTGCTATCTACCACAAAAATGACAGCTACAAGAAGAATTGAAACAGTTTTATACACATAAGATGTAGAACAGATATGATAGGACCATGTACACTTTATATTTATTTTTTATAAAGCAAACAGTGAAATACGGGAATTCTAAAATAAAGATATTATAATGTACCCCAATATCTTATGATCTTGCCATGAATAATCTTATTAAGAACTCATGTAATTTTGACATTTACATAATTAAAACTTTGAAGTTTACAGAACATGTATTATTCCATATTGGAAGAGGTAGGGGACATGAGCAGGGATAAAGTTCAATAGGGAAATGGGCAGACTGTCCATTATCAATCCTGTATTTATAAAGGAATTTTGTACTTAGATTTCTTAACTCTTTTACAAGTAATAGCTTTTCAAAAAGCTTGCCTGACTAATCAATCAATATCTATGGAATGTATAAGCAAGAGAGGTGCTAAACGTTTCCGTCATCAAGAAGCGACAGAGTTGTGAAACTTTTTTAAACAAGATGTACAATTGACTTTCTAAAATGTCATAATCAAATACTACAGATTAACGAATATTTAAGACATGCCACTATTTGGTCATTTATTAGTTAGCCCACGGGCTGACTAGTTACGTTGGGATGAAACTGCAAGTGAGCTAGCGTGCATTGGAATTCTGGTAAAAATAGTCTGTTTTCTGTCATTCTCCACGACTAAGTAAATTGTGAACAGTTTTAACAGGGAAAGTTGTCTTGAAGTGTTTGAGACAAAAATGCTTCAATGTTGCTCTAGGACCCAAAGTAGACAGCCTGTACACTTTATAGCTAGAGCAAAACATGATAATAATCCCCCTCGGACAAAACTCGCGCAATGATGGTCTTACCATATACATATATTATAAATGAATTTAAAATATGTCTTTTCGTACAGTTTTTAAATTGTTTAGTTTTTCTTTTCAATCAATTTCAGGACCTTTCTCATTTCTTCTATAACAACGTGCTTTTCATGAAATGAAAACCAGATCATGATGTCTTCTTCATTTTGCCGATTCTTTACTTAGAACCTTATGGGAGTGAAGCTCATTTCTCTACGGGTACTGACATACACTCTAGTCACTGTATTTAAAGGAAACCCTTGTTTATCACAAAGCATGAAATAATATGCTACTGGCTGACTTTCTTAGCTTTTTAAAAACCTAACCTTGTAACGTACATTATTAATAAATGTAATATTGAAAGAAATGGTGGAAAAGAGACTGAATCAAGAAGGGATGACCCATTTACTAGGTTGAGGGAGTTTGTTTATGATTGGACTAGTCCACTTAATGGATAACTGGGAAACAAAATAGTAAGAATAATCAGCAAATCCACTGCTTTAGTGTTGCCTGCCCATATACATGTACAATGAGTTCTTTTAAAAAATGAGATAAAATTTGCAGGTAATATAAAATCTGAAGCTTAAGAATCAGGTTAAAAGAACAAACTTTATTTCCATAGAAGTTATCACACCCATTCAATAGAACAATTCAAGAAAAAGGTGCAAAGATAATTTATGTGACATTTGGCGCGAAAAGATTGTGTCACCCCTTTTGTAGAAGAAAAATGGACTGATCCAGTAGTTTAGAAACGCAGAAAAAATGTTACACGGACATGCCCGTACAAAGAATAAACATACATCCGAAAAACTGAAAAAATTAAACACATCATTATTTTGCATCAGTAATATGATTCTTTCTTCTGCAAACCGTATTTGTTGAAATGCAGGTAACAAATTCCGATGTAAATCAGCTTGCACAAAATCTAGTTCATTAAGAATGATCGCTTAGTTTTGGACAATGGAAAAATTAATTATATTGCCTGATGCACATGGCGTCAGGCAATAAATAGATGCACATGTATATAATGCCATGCCTTGATAATTTCCTATATTTAAAAAAGAACTGTTTATCAAGTTTTTTGATCAAAAGCAGAATTAATCAATTCCCAAACTTTCATTTATGGAAGCATTTTTAAAACACACTCAGTGAAAGAAGCACATTTTCCCCTACCTTGAGTATTGAAGAAGTAGTGCTTCCAAAGAGGACGGATCTTCTGTTGTCCTCCGACATCCCAGATTGTAAACTTAACATTTTTATATTCCACAGTCTCCACATTAAACCCTGAAAATGTATTTTGAAATGAAGGAACAATACAGTATTTTACCAATAGATCTTTAATTCAAGGGGAATAATATACATCATAACAAATGGTGTCTCTGATAATCTTAAAGCCTGATATCAAATCCTATAGATTTTAATTTGATTAATTGGTGTCTGAGATTAAATTATATTGCTTTCATTTCAGATATTTATTCTTTTCCAGAGAGAATTTATTTTTTATGCAAACTGCTTCAAAAACATTTTATCATGGTATCTTTTGCATTATTCTGCAATTTTAGTGGAATCTTCTTCCATCAAAATAAAATTAATATGTGTATACAATAACACACACTTATAGCGAACACACTTATAAATAATGAATTGACGCTTATAGCGAAGTGATTTTCATTCCCCATGGCTCTAAAATATGATGTGAACTTACTGGACAAAACGAATTACGTTTATTACGAAGCACTTAAGTATGTCCCTGGCACTTCGTTATTAGCGTGTTTTACTGTACATTGTATCTTTCTAAAACTTATTTACCTATGGTAGGTATGGTGGTGATGAATTCATTCTCCTTAAGTTTGAATAAAATGCTGGTCTTTCCTGCTTCATCCAAGCCTAAAATCACAACCCGCATCTCAATTTTTGGTCCTATGTGAACTCGGTTGTCCTGTTAATAAACTTGATGATTCTTTTACAAAATTACAGCATATAAAAATAGACCTATAATATGACCAAACACTAAATTTACTACTCTTCTTTACAACTTCGAATTTTAATGATTTTGTACCAAATTCTTAAAATTGATAAACCAAATCTTTGCAAAATTATCTATTTACAATTATGAATAAAGAAATTAAAATCACGGTAGTTTCTTATAAATAGTTTCTAGTAAATTCTTAAAATACAGAAACATAATCAAATGAAGAGATAGTTTATGCTGAAACTCAAAACAATAATTGAGAGGACATTTCTTTGTTTCTAGAATCTCTGAAAAGGTATAAAATATATTAAGAATGTTGTGAGTATTACCTTGGTAAATGTAATCGGAATGTTGTGAGTATTACCTTGGTTAATGCAATTGGAATGTTGTGATGTATTACCTTGGTAAATGTAATGGGAATGTTGTGATGTATTACCTTGGTAAATGTAATGGGAATGTTGTGATGTATTACCTTGGTAAATGCAATTGGAATGTTGTGATGTATTACCTTGGTAAATGTAATGGGAATGTTGTGATGTTTTACCTTGGTAAATGTAATGGGAATGTTGTGAGTATTACCTTAGTAAATGTAATCGGAATGTTGTATTACCATGGTAAATGTAATCGGAATGTTGTGATATATTACCTTGGTAAATGTAATCGGAATGTTGTGATGTATTACCTTGGTAAATGTAATCAGAATGTTGTGATGTATTACCTTGGTAAATGTAATCGGAATGTTGGGATCTAATGGCAGTTGGTCTGGTATGTCTGAGAACTGTTGTTGTTGTTTCTGTATAGTGTCAAGTAATGTCTGTACATCATGTTTTGCCAGCAAGACTTTGGTGTCATCCTGAAATCAATTTACACACTATTTTTTAAGACATAGAACGATGCAAATAGGAAATCATTCTCCAAAAATCCAAAAGAAAAAAACATTGGTGGTTCCTCTTCATATACAGCTGCTGATCTATAGTTCATTGGTCTGAATTTTTTTAAAGATTTTTTTTTTCAGTCTAGCAAACAACAGGTCTTTAACTAATTCTCATGTCCTGTTTGAATACCTGTGTTTCACACCAGTGAGCTACATATCTACAGCTACAGTAAAAGATGTTTATAACAAAGTACCATGGACGACCAACTTTGATTCGATATAAACATAATTTGATTATATCTGTTAAGTTCACAATACAATTTAAAACCGTGAATTCATTATAATGAAGTCACCTATAAATATGTTTTACTGTACTTTATATATGCTCACAGTCTCTTGATAGGATACCAGTTCAAAATAAAGAAAAAGTATGGATATAGGTGTAACCTGTTGTAGCGTTCCCTCACACTGGTGACAGACGGCAGACACCTGTGACAAGAGTGTAGCCATGTCCTCCTGCTGCTGCCTCAACATACACAACTTCTCTCGGATGTGAGCATCCACCGTGGTGAAAGCAATCACTTCCTGTCGATTCAGAGCTGTACGGAGCTCATCAAAATGGGACTTGATTTTTTCTCTGGCAAGTTCTGCTGTTCCCTGAACCTAGAGAAAATGGTTTTTATCATTCTAGGTATATAAACTGAGTTCTTAATCTTAACCATTCTAAATAATTACAATTTATTTTATACTGCAGATGCATATATTGCCTGAGTTGTGAAACTGGAGTCTACAACCCACCCCTTGAACACCACTGGTTCCATCATCATTCTGAACTAACTGTGCACCCCCTTCCACCTGTTGAATGGTTTGACCCAGCTTCCTGGCTGATTCGGCAACTTCCTCTCCAAAAGATCGGATGTGAATGACAGCACTGGTAATGGATCGTCGTACATTCTCTGCCTCTGTCTCCAGGAGAGTGTGCTGTTACATGCAGAATAGTTAGAATTTGGTGGATTTGGAATTTGCTAGCATTATATCAAATAAACAGGTATCTCCATAAGGTATAGAAATTATTGATGTATAATTGATGACTTCGGTATCTCAAACATCAGTATCTCAAATACTATGGAAATGTCAAAGTGATTTTGAAGTTCCAACCCCTTATTCCTTAAGTATTTTACGATATCTGGAATCCTCCGATATCTCAAAGTTTTTTCTTGGTCCCATTGACTTCGAGATAAGAATTTGATTGTATCACCTAAATATCAAGAATATTTACAATAAAATTCTCAGAAAACTCTGACAATGGTTACCCTGTGTTTGACATGTCTTCCATAATCTTTACAGATGTAACACATCAGTGGTGAGTTTTTACATTCCTCCTCCAGACAAGCAAACTCCACTAGATGCATTGGGTGGAATGCACACTTCGGATTCTCTCTGGGTTTTTCTGATATTGGAACTCTTTTGTGTTTAGTGAGGGTTCTTGTAGAGTGAGTCTGTTCTGAGCACTCCACACATAAATGGGTGCAGCAAACAACACAGAAGACAATTGCTGTATGGAGTTCATTCTCGTCACAAGCAATTCCAAACTATATAAAACAAATATAATATTGATGTTTATATATATACAATTTAATTCATCAAAAACTTGAAAATGAACTGGAGAGATATAAAGTTATACATTAATTATTTAATGGATGCATGTGCATTCATAGATAAAGAAATATAAATAAATGACTGAATAAGCAATAAAATTTGTAAGATAGTTCAATAAAACTCATAATGTATATTGTTGAATATTATATCCATGTTAATTTAGTGTATAATTTAAAAAATTCCCAAATAATCATTCAAAAATAATAATTATTTTAATAATAGTACTTGTCTCTCTTTGGCTAAGCTTTCCTCCGAGAAAGTTGTCTTGCTAGTATGACTTGCAACTGGGTATTTGAGTTTTTCTAAGAGTTCAAGAAGAGCAAAGTTTTTCTTCAAACCCCAGACACCGGAATCTCCAATCTCAGTTGGTTGTCGATCGAATGGACAGTGGAGTGCATTGCCATTGAGAGGAATTCGTGTCAGGCATTGGTGACAAACAGTGTGACCACAGACTAAAAGTCGAGGGACTTTGTCACCTTGGAAACGGAATACTTCATTGCAAACTCTGCATTCCAAGATGGTCTGAAAGCATTAGCCACTGTTAGCAAAGAGAGTTATAATTCCTTTGCTGAATTTTGCTAGAAAATTTCAAGTTACCCTGTTAAAAACGCAAAATTATCCGAATTGAACACAGGTATTTTTTCATTGTGCACTATCAAACCATCATTTTCCCTACAAGTAATTACTTTAAAGATATTGTAAAATTAAAAACAATTAAAATATGTAATGCAGTTCGAATTTCCTCGAAATTATTGGGTGTTAGCTTTGCATGTGACAATTTCAAACAAGTAACAGATCAAAAATGTTTTTCATGTTTACATTATCTGTTGACTCATCACTTGATCGTCCGCCTGTCACGTAAAGCCCAACATTAGGCGATGTTCCACAAGCCATTTGACATCCGGAAGTCCCAATCTGGCCAATGGCTCCTGTCTAATTCATCACCAGTTAATTCGGTCCGTAAAGTTTCCATGGTTTTATTTATGTTATTGGTTTACATGTTATAAATTTTCAGTTAGTCAATTTTAAATAATTATTTTGTCAATGAAACAGCCAAACCTCGATGAATTTAAAACAAGAAACAATTTTGAATCAGAAGACTCGAAAGCATTGCGCCTACTCAGCTACTGACCAAAACAAAGCCATGTGTGCAGAGAAAACAGTCGTGATTGACGGTTTCACAGGTAAAGATTAATGGCATCTTTTGAAAATATATGATTGTAAATTAAACATAATATCATTTTCCATGATGTATTTTCCAAAACCCAGATGTTCAATAGTGTTTTAACTTTGTGATGCTCAGGCCTATATATGCATTCGAATTTCCTCATTCCATGTGAAAATCATTACTATTCAAACCTTACATTTAGCTGCAATTGGTGCCTTGAGAAGTATAGGTAAAAAAAGTGAAAACTGTAATTGTATTCCGTATATTTCCTCCTTTGAGTTCAGTTAATAGGTACAATCTTATGATTGTATCGAGGTTTTACCTCCACATGCTCCATCTATGTATAGACCATACGTGGCCAAAATAATGATTTTAGATATTAATGTCTCTTACCAAGTCTCTGTCAAATATATACAGTATACCACTGATTTAAATCACTAAAGCTGTCATTTATGGGCTTGTTTTGATGTACAACACTAATTTTTTTTAAGCTTGATAATAAATAATATATAACATTAATCTTCATAATATATACATCATGATGTAAGAAGTTGATTTTTTCTAGTGTTACAAACAAAGTTTCAAGAGTCGAGTAAACCAGGACACAGCCTTTATGTAAAGGAACACCAGGGAAGAGCCAGTACACGACCTAAAGACAAGACATTGTTTGTTGTAAATGTACCGCCATACTGCACACAGGTATCTATTCAAAATATGCTCACTGTTTCAAGTAACTCTAGGGATTAATTAGTGTATAACTTGGTTATAAGGAATGTGTAATAAGTAAAACACACTTATAGCGAAGTGCAAAGCACAGACAATTTTGATTCATTATGAAAGTAATTTGTTATATCCATCAAGTTTTGGAACCACCATGAATGAAAATCACTTCACTGTTAGTGTAAGTCCATGATAAGCATGTTTGCTATATCTGTGTTTTACTGTATAAGGAAATCTTGATTATCAGGAAACTAAAATTTTAAGCATTAGAAAAAGTGTGATATAATCCGAATTCAAAGTAAATTTTTTCCTACCAATTTGTGTCACAATCAAAAGATGCTCTATCCTTTTCCTTTTGAACACAGTCAAAATTAGAGGAAACTGCTTTGATGCCATTTGTGATTTATTGGAGAATATAAATGGCCATTGCAGCTCTTTGATCTTTGCAATAATTTTATAAGAAAATGATATAATTATCCACGAAATGTTTTTTATCATTATAATTTCAGGTGAGCATAAGAAAGGTGTTCTCTGCGTTTGGAGAAGTGATCAAGGTTTATATGTATGACAAGCCTCACAATGAGGATAAACAGCTGAACCAGTCCAAGTATTTTCCAGACACCCCACAAGTCAAGGTAGAGTATATCATTGTCAGTAAAAGTCTATCTAATAGCCGGCTTTAGAGAATCATGTCAGTATATGAATGTAAGTTTATATTATTTGAAATAAAAAAAAAATCTGCTTTGTAATTTTTGTACACTGTGTATCATGTAGGTTTGTACATAATGGTACAAACATGTATAATTACTTAATTTTCATTTCAATTATGGTAGGTTAAACTACATGTATGTTCCATCATTTTTTTTCAACAGTTTAACAGTCCTACCAAACAAAGAAAATTTTTATTCATTAATGTTCAATAGAGGCCAAATTTTTTGTAATAAATGGTACTGTATAAGTGGAATTTTTAGCGAGACCCATATTTATTTATTCCAATAAATAAGTATATATTTTTAGCGAGAAAAATTATTTAAGTGATTTTATAATGTTAAGAAAGATATCTTTAACAACCAATATGGAATAAATTGTTAGCGATCTCAAAACCCTCACTAATAATGCCAAAATTGGATCCTTGCTAAAAATTCTGCTTATATGGTATTAAAAGAAATTGATTATTTGACAGGGATGTACAATCAGAGATTTGATGTCCATCACTTTTGCAGGGTTTTAAGGTGGCCTACGTTGTCTTCAAGAAGGCTTCGTCAGTTCAGAAAGTCAAGTCTCATCCTCACGACAAAATTCTCACCCTTTCCTCCGACGAGGCCCCTATTCTGACTGGAATCAAAAGTAAGAAATTAAGAGGAACGCACCACTTAATTCTCCTATGTGTACATTGGTAGCAAATACATTCTTTTGTAGATTCTTCAAAAGTCTATTTTCCTTAGTGTGACAATTTTGATCATTATTTAACCATTCTCTCCAAAAATTTTATAATACAGTCTTATTAGCATTCATTACATACACATATATTGTTCATGTACAGTGAAATCATTTTCATGTCCCCTAGTTGAAGATTCAGGGGTGTATAGTTTTTGGTCTGTAAATCCATCTGTCTGTCCACAAAAATGTTAGCCTTGCCCATAACTATTGAAAGGTTGGTTCTAGGGCTTTCATATTTCACATGTATATTCCTTGTGACAAGACCTACCTTTGGGTACTAACATTTTTGACCTCCTGACCTTGACCTTTGATTTTGTTTTGTTTGTATGTTGTTTAACATCCCTCTCGAGAATTTTTCGCTCATATGGAGACGCCACCACTTGCCGGTGGAGAGCTGCAAATTTTGTCCTATACTCGGCACTTACGGCCATTGAGCAGTGAGGGATCTTTTTCGTGCCAGCTCCTACTGTGACAAGGAACCTAAGTTTATACGGTCTCATCTGAAGGACCAGTCTCCACGTCCCACAGTGGGATTGGAATTGCGACGTAAGGATCAACTCCTTATGCAGGGACTCTAGAGCAGACGCTCTAACCACTGCGCCACACGGGCGACGACCTTTGATTTTGACCTATATTAGTAAAACTTTATCCTTCTCTATAACTTTTGAACAGTTGGTGTTAGAGCTCTCATATTTCACTTATGTATTCATTGTGGAAAGACTTTCTGATGTCCGACCTTGACCTTGGAATATAACCTACTTTTGAAAAACTTTAACCCTGGCCATATTTTCTGAATGGTTGTTGCTAGAACATTCATATTTTGTGTATTCCTTGTGACAAGGCCTTTCTTTTGGTACCAACATTTTTGAACTCTTGATCTTGAAGTTTGACCTATATTTGAAAAATTTTAACCTTGGCCTTGAACTTCCATATTGAGGCATCAGTGTTTCACATAACATCTTGTTTTTTTTATTAGTTTAAATTTAAAATAATAATTAACAGAATGGCAGAAAGAGTACAGAGATAATGTTTGTGACACACAAGAGCTACAAACAGAAATAGATGAATACATGGCAGCTCATGATGAAGAACAGGAGAGAGAGAAGAGGCTGGCTCTGGAACAGGAGGGGGTGCCGGACGAAGACGGCTGGGTCAAGGTGACCCGGCACGGCAAAAACAAGGGGGCCCCTCGAACAGAAACAATGGAAAAGAAGGTTACAGCTAAAGACAAAAGGAGGCAGACGGAAAAGGTGGGGGCATATTTTTGTTGAACTTAACAATTAAATATATGAATTCTGCGGATTTGTTTTATAATTTATGTCCTGTGACTGTATAGTGTCATTTTGTGTAATATTTTAGCTTCATTTGCAAAAAGATATAAAAAAAAACTTTAACCATTGAACACAAGAGTTTCAAAAAAAAAAATCATTTGTAAATTGTTTGGAAACATTCTCTCCTGGTAATTTAATCTGGATATTTATTCTTGAGTAGTTCTGCACTTGTAAATGTGTTTCTTACATTGATTTTATGATGAACAAATTCTTGCAGACAAGTACTATTACATCATGTTTGGGCTACATGTATAATGTAAACCTGCCATTTCTTTATTTTCAAGGAACTGAAGAATTTTTATGCTTTTCAAATGAGAGAGTCCAAAAGAGACAGTAAGTTTTTATTTTTTTTCCTAACACATGGATTACTAGTATCATGATGCTGTTATTATCCCCTCGAAACAAAGTTGGAGAGGAATAGTAACATGCTTTTATGTGGGTGAGTCCGTACCTGGGTAAGTTAAGCAAGTTATAATTGATATTGGGTTCGATGTGCTCATTTGTGAGGGGATGCTCTGCTTTGAGGAGCCCTTGTTATTTTTTTGTGATATGAATATACATGTTCATTCCAGAAAACATTTCATTCTGAATTTTTTTTATACGCCCGTCTTAAGACGGGACGTATTATGTTATAGCCTTCATGTCCGTCCGTCCGTCCGTCTGTTAGCTCTTTCGTGTCCGGCTCATAACTTTAATACTATTAGACCTAGAATTATCAAACTTTTTCAGCTGATACTTCCTGTGTAGAAGGTGTGTCGCGCATTAAAAGTAGGTCGCTCTGACTTTTAATTAAGATGCTATGGCCAAATATGGAAAAATCCTGTCTGGCTCATAACTAGAGAACTATTAGACTTAGAATCATCAAACTTGGCCAATTTATGCATCTTAGGTAGAAGGTGTGTCGCAACCTATTTCAAGGTCACTGTGACCTTTAATTTAGTGAAATTTTTTAAAAAAAACTGTGTCTCTATTCTGTTAAATTACACAATCCCCAAAAATGTAAGAATTTTGCAGTATCCTTATTAAAAAAATGTTAAATCAAGAAAATACTTTTTTTTTTCATTATATACTTTACAGCAATCTATAAAAAATGTAATGTTATAAGAGAAATTCCACCTCTCCCATGGGTGTAATCATCAAGCACTGGTCAAGGAGAATTTTGATAACAGAAAATTACATGTCAAATTAGAGAGAAATTAATGAGTTTAGTGTGAGGAACTAACTGGTAGAGCATCTCTGATCAAACAGGTGTTATCTATATCTCCTGGGAATTGGGCAAAGGAATCAGCCTTGGATGAATCTAGTTGGCTAGCCTTTTAACTTTGGTGAAAAGTAATTAAAACTAACTTGATATTGTATAATAAACTAATTTGATATTATATAATATACTGGGGGGGGGGGGGTATTGAAATCAGCATGTTGGGTTGTCTGTTTGTCAATATGAATTGCAGCTTAAAACCAGTCTGACATTAAATCTCAAAGAAATCATCAAGTATTTTATAAAAAAAATGTTTTATGGTAGATAGTTCCTACAAATCTAAGAGTCATGCAGTAACCTTATTAAAAATACTGCATCAAGTTTACACAAGTTTTTGGTTTTTTTTGATAAATCTTTGTAACAAGTTAAAAAAAAAATCTGTTTTCAACGGAATGACATAAATATATGCATTTTTAGCTCTTCTGAGCCAAAGGCTCAAAGAGCTAATGCTATGGCCATTTGTGCGGTGTGCGTAAACTTTTTAGAATATGGGCCATAACTCAAGAACCCCTTGGCCAATTATTGTCAAATTTGTCACAGGGTATCCTTGGCCCAAGGGCTCCCTTTTATACTAAAACTGGGGTTGTGACCCTTTAACAAGGGGAGATAATTAGGAAAATAGAAAAAAAAAACTGGTTGCTAAAAAATCTTCTTCTCAAGAACCACTGGGCAGATTATCACCAAACTTATACAAAAGGATGAGGATATGTTGTAGATTAAAATTTGCATGGGGATTTACCCTGGGGCAAAGAGCGTGGTCTCAAGGTCACTTCAAAGTTGACCAAAAATTACATTTTATTAAAATGTTGATATTTTGCTTACTATAAGGACTAGGATCATCAAATTTTGTCAGTTGGTGCATCTAAGGACCTCATATCATGTTGACTCAAAAGTAGGTCACCGTGACCTACTTTTTAAATTTTGCGGCCATTCTTTTTCAAAATGATTTAGAGGCATATTTTGAACAATTTAAGGCCTATGATCATCAAACTTTGTCAGTTGATGCATCTTGGGTCTTCAAAGTACGTCAACTAAAAAGTAGGTCACCTTGACCTACTTTTTGAATTTTATGGCTAATCTTTTTAAAAACAATTAAGGTTATTAATTCGAATACGGGGAGGCTTAGAATCATTAAATCTTGTAAGATGATGCATCTTGGGGCCATAAAACATATTTATTAAAAAGTAGGTCACAGTGACCTACTTTTTGAACTTTTGCAGGCATTCGATTTCAAAGCGTTTTAGAGGCATAATTTTGACATTTTAAGGCCAATGATCATAAAACTTTGTAAGTTGATGCATCTTGGGTCCTCAAAAAAGGTCAACTGAAAAGTAGGTCACCGTGACCTACTTTCGGAAAATTTATGGCTTTAATAAAATATTTCAGGTACTAATTGGCTTAGAATCATAAAACTTTGTCAGTTTATGCGTCATGGGTCCTCGGAGTACAACAACTGAAAAGTAGGTCACAGTGACCTACTTTTGAAAATTTATGGCTTTAATCAAATATTTAGGGTACTAATTGGCTTAGAATCATTAAACTTTGTCAGTTGATGTGTCTTGGGTCCTCGGAGTACAACAACTGAAAAGTAGGTCACGGTGACCTACTTTTGAAATTTTATGGCTGTATTTAGTATTTTCAGGAATTATTTGGCTTAGAATCGTCAAAATTTGTCAGTTGATGCATCTTTGGTCCTCGGAGTAGGTTGACTGAAAAGTAGGTCACGGTGACCTACTTTTGAAAATTTATGGCTGTAATTAAATATTTTGGGTACTTATTGGCTAGAATCATCAAACCTTGTCAGTTGATGCGTCATGGGTCTTCGGAGTAGGTTGACTAAAAAAGTAGGTCACCGTGACCTACTTTCGGAAAAGTTATGGCTTTAATAAAATATTTCGGGTACTAATTGGCTTAGAATCATAAAACTTTGTCAGTTTATGCGTCATGGGTCCTCGGAGTACAACAACTGAAAAGTAGGTCACGGTGGCCTACTTTTGAAAATTTATGGCTTTAATCAAATATTTCGGGTACTAAATGGCTTAGAATCATTAAACTTTGTCAGTTGATGCGTCTTGGGTCCTCGGAGTACAACAACTGAAAAGTAGGTCACGGTGACCTACTTTTGAAATTTTATGGCTGTATTTAATATTTTCAGGAATTATTTGGCTTAGAATCGTCAAAATTTGTCAGTTGATGCATCTTTGGTCCTCGGAGTAGGTTGACTGAAAAGTAGGTCACGGTGACCTACTTTTGAAAATTTATGGCTTTAATTAAATATTAACAGGTACTAATTGGCTTAGAATCATCAAACTTTGTCAGTTGATGCATCTTGGGTCCTTGGAGTAAAACAATTGAAAAGTAGGTCACTTTGACCTACTTATAAAATTTTATGATTATAATTTTAAAAAACATTTTAGGTATTGATTGGCTTAGAATCATCAAACTTAGTTGATGGGTCCTCAGAGAATGACAAGTGATAAGTAGGTCACCATGACCAACTCTCAGGTACTAATTGGCATAGAATCATCTTGGGTTCTCAGAGTGTGAATTGGAATTTCAAGGGTTTATGTAAATATACAGGATACTTCAAAGCTTCAAATAGAAGTGATAGGTTGTACAGTTTATCAGAAGAGCGATTCAAGGCCCATGGGCCTCTTGTTATTACAATACAGACTATTAAAGCAGATAGTGCAGATCCATTCATCCCTTGGGAGTAATGAATGGACATGCATCCAGCTGAAGATTATAATTAATTAGTTCAATGTATAGGAAGGCTAGCTGTCTCAATCATTTCTGTTAGAGCATCTCTGATCAAGCAGCTCTTATCTGTATCCTTTGGGAATTAGACAGAAAACCTGCTTGTCAGTTTATAGCATATGTCATTTGATGGCCAGCCATTTATTTTCAAAATTAATTTGGTATAGATTAAATTGTTAAGACTATTTTGATATTGTTTAATTTGAAATTTTTATTTAATTTTTTGAAAATATCAAATAAATATGAAAGATGGGGGGAGGGAGGGGGCTGCAGATGGGCATTTGTCAAGGTGTAACACAACCAGTTGAGAAATTTGTTATAATTAGTGCCTGCACTACAGGAAATGTATAAACATCAAATATTATAAGGAATGGAAAAGTCATGGAAATCTTTGAATTAAGGTTGACATGATTTTCTTGCACCCTAAACTGTTTATGATAATTGAACAACATTTGACGGGTGTATCATGCTGGGGCGGGGCACTTTATTTTAAAATGGATTTATGTCTTACTTTAATTCAAAATCAGTCTAGTAAAATTCTATCATCATTTGTTTATGTTCAGTTGACTTTGAAATATTTCTTTATTAAAGACAGTAATTTTTATATTTTGGTAGAATAATCTGTTACTATTCATTTTGCAGGTATTGCTGAATTGCGCAAGAAGTTTGAAGAAGATAAACAGAGAATTTCTTTAATGAAAGCATCAAGAAAATTTCGACCTTATTAAAAACATGTATGCATATAAATAAATGTGTTTTGTTTTGTGTAAATTCTAATTGTAACACACTTTCTGGATTATTATCTTCTTGCAGTGAAGTTGGAGGGCTGGGAGATAGTAATTTGTCGTTGAGTCATTTGCTTAAAATCGAATATGCGCTCTTGCAAGGGGATTCCCAGCATTGCAGTGCCCTTGTCAGGCCCGTAGGAAGCAATTTCAGTTGGGGGGGGGGGGGGTACAGCCAAACATTTTTAGTTGAGGGGCACTATCAACTACCAAAAATTCCTTGACAAGCAAAAATAAAAATGTCATCAGACGTGCCCCCCCCCCCCCTTTTCCTATGACCATGGTTGTTACATTTTATATACGCAAAATCTAATGATACACTTTATTGGTTTAATATTGAAATCATTATTGACTGATTTAAAACATGTATTACAAAAACTCTTTGACAGCAGCTGTAACAATCCTATTCCTTTAAATGAAAAATATTCTTAATTATTATAAGAACAATGGCTCAAAACAAGAAATTTTGAATGTATCTTAATCATTCTGTTTAAGCGAATAACAAGGATTATTGTATTTTTTATTAATAATCTTTGTGTCGTGAACAATGAAAAACGTATATCGATAGGAAGTAAGAATTTATTGTTTGTCAAAGGTCTTATTAATTAAAAGATTTTAAAAGAATTTAAAATGTTTATCAAAATCTACATTACATGGAAATTTCAAGTCTTTTGGTGTCCTACATGTACCATAGGAGAAATTGCTAATTTGTCCCAAAAATGGAGCCGTAAAACAGAGTCCATCTTATTTCATAAAAGGAATTAAAAAAACATATTAAAAAATATAGTTGGAAATGACATTAAGGTTTGATGTCTTTGACATAATTTCTGTAATGCCCTTAAATTAATGTACAGAATTTTTTTTAGATCGTGAAAATGTACGTTTTTTTTTTGTTTTGTTTGTGTGTGTGTGTGTTATTTTAAGCCTCTTTAGACATGAAACGCAAAAGCATGTGTTACTATAAATAGAACAAATCCTTGGTTCTGTTATTATTATTATAGGTTTTAACCTTTCATTGACCAAAAACTGCAAAATTAACATTTTATGAAAATCTCCGACCCTCCTTCTGATATTTTTCATTATTTTCTCTGAGACACTTAAATATTTAATTAATCTTCTTTCTTAATATCTGGCGAATGAAGGGCGTTACTCTATAACTGAACCTTACTAAAAATCAAACTAATAAATTTACAGGTTCAAATTGAATGATTTTTCTTTGACTATGTCTCTTTCTTTCAAATCACTGAAAAATAAAACGACAGTGATTATTATAAATCTCTATGAAGTCAAATCTCTGGTTACAAATTGAAAAAAAAAAATGAAAACTGAATACTTGTGATACCTTTAAAATGAAAAGTTAATAAGTCTGACTGATTGCTGTCCAAATCTCAAATATCTCGTAAAAAATCCCGATTATATTCATGTCTTTCCAAGGTGATCATCATTTACAGAAATTAGCAATTTCCTTCGACAATTCATATTAAAAATAGAATATCAGTTATAAGAGACCAGAAATATTAGATTCCAAAATGAATTGTAAAATCTATTCCGTCGTCGCTAGCCACTTTATATTTGATCGTCAAGTATTGTGGATTTACATCTATAAAACAGTATAAAACATAAAATAGCCATGTGTAAAACATGTGATAAAAGGAATCTCCCATGGTTTGTGGTTGGATAATTTATGATTTTTTTTAAATCCAACTTGTGTGTTTTTATCCCCTCGCCAAGGCTCGGGGATAAAAACACACAACTCTTTGGATAAAAAAAAATTATATCTAACCACAAACAATGGGAGATCCTATATAGATGTGACAGTAATATATTTTGCCACAGGAAATTTTTCCGAGAGATTTGCACTGGATATCGCGCTCGAGCGATAGACAGTTTGCTAACACCTTAACGTAGTGTTGTGTACAGACTATGGTGGCATATTTCTGCCCCATGTGTGGAAGTTATTTTTCTGTCAAATATGTCGACATGCAAGATAAATATGTTGGCATGCAAAATAGTTATGTCGACATGCAATTTAGCTATGTTGACATGCAAGATAATTGCAATCAATTAAGAATTATAAAATTTTTTTAAAAAAATCTCAAATATTCCCCACATGTGACTTCCAACATGCTAGATGCTACTTATTCATGTCGACATGCAAGTTATTTATGTTGACATTCGAGAAAAATATGTTGGCATGCAAGTTATTTATGTCAACATGCAACTTATTTATGTCTACATGCAACTTAGTTATGTTGACATGCGCGATAAATATGTTGACATGCAACTTAGTTATGTTGACATGCGAGATACATATATTGACATGCAACTTATTTAAGTCAACATGCAATTTAGTTATGTTAACATGTAACTTATTTATGTTGACATGCGAGGTCAATATGTTGACATGCAACTTATTTATGTCAACATGCAACTTAGTTATGTAAACAAACTAAACATGCCACTTATTTATATTTGAGACTTTATTAAGACTCTATACGCAAGTTTCTTGATATTTTATGTAAGTGATCATAGATTTTAATTTTTTCCCCATATTGCCAATTTTTTTAAATTTGGTTGCAATAGTTCAATGAGAAAATTGTTAAAAAAGAGATAAAAAACCGAAAACACACGAAATTTGAAAGGGTTTTTTTTGTATTACATTTTAGTTAGTCTTGTGATTTATCAAAGTTAAGGATACTTAACACAAACAAAAATTTGATGCATGGACTGATATATGTTTTTTGACTGATTTTGATTTGAAATGACATATATAGATAATAAATTCCAAAAATATAGAGAAATCGTAAGTTTTATTTGGTGCTTTGATATGAGACTTTGTGTCGCTTATATATAATTCTATACAAAATTTTGCACAACTTTTTAACCTCATGACAAAATCTTATAAAATTCTCCCACTACACCTGGTAAACATTATTCAGGTAACCAATTTAAATATAAATCTATGAGAAATATTGCTGATTTCTGAAAAAAAGTTTGTGTTATTTATCCTTAAGCAACATTTAATTTTTTTTTAAAAATAAATCTTAACAATTCTTGTTTGAATTTTTTTTAATTAAAATCAGTTATGCTTCCAAACCGTAAAGATTTTTTTTTGCAACAATCATTATGCATAGATCCGTCCACAGCATTGACATGCCTTCATTTACACTTCTCGAATCACGGTATTTACTTTAAATTATCAGATTATTTTGTTAAAAAAAGAATTGTTTAGTTAAAATTGTTGTCGACCGCATTGAAATAGTAGCGGATATATATATATATATATATATATATATATATATATATATATATATTAAAAAAAGTAAATATCCAAAAATGAAATCACAAATCGATGCCTGAAGACCCAGGATTGGCGAAAAAGTTTACAGTGAATGAAGATCGCTTTGCGATTTCATTTTGGATATATATACTTTTTAAAAAATATGATCGATTTTCAAAATGATAAGATTTTGAATTAAATGATTAAATTTAAATGCATAAGAAATTATGTGATACACAACTTTGAACATTTGTGCGTAAGTGCTGATTTGTTACTACCCAATTGAGTTCTGTTTTTTTTTCTGTCGGTAAAATTGAAGTTGATTTTAATGATCGAAAATTTATTCAAGCAGATGTTGCAGTTTAAATTATTTTCTTATGAGGTGGGCAACAAAGTATAAATTGCATTTCCTTAGATAAAATGTCCTGGCGATTTAGAAACGTGACTGTAGACTACAAAACGTTTATAGGGCCCCTCTCTGCGGGCGACCTATAGTAATTAGTGTGTCCGTCCTTCCATCTGTCCGTCCGAGGTCTCTTTTAAAGGGTGAAACTATGTTTCAAGGTCAAAGGTAAAGGTAATAGCAGAATTGTATATGAGAAATCTTTGTCCAGAGCACGTCTTTTCTCCCCTTGGTCCAGTCTGGTTCATACTTCACCCACAGAGTGTCTGTGGTCAAAGGGTGTGCAGTGACCTTGAATAATATTTTTCATTTGCTTAATCTTGTTCAGAACCAAAAATAAATGGCTTTATTTTAGGTAAGGGGTAATGAGACTGAAATAAAATATTTATGCCAGCTGGACAATTTCTAAGTTATATGTCAAGGCCAAAGCAAAATTCTCTGAAATGCTTTTCATCTTATTGTCCATTATTTGAGCGGGGCCCTTTGAGATGGTCACCGTCTCAATAATGTCTAGTTGAATTCATGAATTCAGTGATGTTCTACATGAAATAGTTTAAGAATAAAAGGTATAAAGCGCAGTAAATTAATTTGATATTTTAAACAATACTAATTGGAATATAAAATATGACCAAAATCGTAACAATGTCATTTTTATTGTCAAGTAGGTATGTTCTGAATGAGGGAAAATAGATCTAGAGCTTTTATTATTTACAGGTGCATTACATATGATAACTTCAATAAAAACGAACAATTCTATTTTAATTTATACCTTGAAATAAAAGTTTGACCTATAGTTATCTAATGAAATTGCTGACCAAATGCATTGTTTAATTCATAGGAAAATACGCTTTTGTACTCTAACCTCAACAGTATTCATAACATTTTTTTGAATTTATTATGATTTTTAACCTTGATGTTTAAAACAGATTTTAAAAAATCAACAATTACTAGTATTATGTACTATTTACTTTACTAGTAATACGCATTTGCAATTAAATACACAAAGCCTCGCAAAGATACAATTTCTCATTCCTTTTTCAAACAATATTCGGAACATAAGAAAAAGGTACCTCCTTCAAACGACAAGAGTCAAGTAAATGTATGTAGATACATGTAATTTATAAGCGGTGCACATAGTCTGTTATTCGGATAAAGAGTTCTGTTGGTTCTTCTACTGTGTTTGGTGGGTAATTTAAACCGTTTTCCATTCTTATTTGAGTACCAATAACTTCAAATTCCATTGACACACCATTTGCAGGAGGGTAGGCACAATAATC